CCTGGGGCCCTTTCTCCCCACCAGCTTCTGTCTCCCCACCCACCTCTCAACCCCTGTGGCTCCCTGCCCTTCCATCTCACGTGCCCTCCCCACCACCCTCCACCAGGATGCTTTACCTGTCCCAGGTCCCTCAAGCCCCATGCTCCCGGGTCCTAAGTCCCAGGTCACCTGGGGATCCCCGCAGCTGCTTTTCAGCATCACCGGCTGCACTCCTGCCCCTGGCTCTCCCGGCAGTGTTTGTCCTACGGTTCCTCTGGAGGTGGAGGAGGCACTGAGCCTGTGAGCTCACAGCCTGGGTGGTGAGGAGGAGGGAGGAGGAGGAAGGAAAGGGTGGGGCGCAGGCCCAGGGGACTCAGCCTCCAATGAGGCCCCTGGAGCGAACCAGGATCCTTTGGGGGCAGGGGAAAGGAGAGGCTGGAGGGCGGGGGGTGCTTAGCGAGGGAAAAGGGGGTGTCTGAGGGGCTGCTGCCTGCTTTGGGGTGTTCTGTGCACCCTGGGAGAGGCAGAAGGATCTTGGCTGCTCACTGTCGATCTGAGAGCCACCTGCTGTCGGGAAGAGAAAGTACTTCTGCTGGGGAGTGGCTAGGCTGGGGCAGGGGCAGTGGGGCAGGAGATGGGACTAGGCTGCTGGCCAGAATGAGGGCTGACCACCATGGTCTAGGGTGGTGGTCACCCCAGGAACAGCCTGCTCAGGCTGCCAGCAAGCCAGGCAACCGAGGCTGGGAGCCCCCACAAGCTGTTGTTTGCCTGGTCCTGGTGAAATGAACCATCCCTCAAGAAAATCTGTCCATGACAAATAAACACCAGCCGGTGCTGGCAGGCACGCTGAAGAGGCAGGGTCTGTGTCCAGCTGATTCCTCCTGCCTAGGGAACAGTGGCCAGGGCTGCCCCCTGTGGGCACCAGAACATGGGTTGACTACCTTGGAATAGGAGCTGAAGCCCAGCCGGGACCCCTGCCCTTGGCTCACCCCCTGAGAATGTGGGCTCCCAGGACCAGGGGCTCCAGCCACCTGCTCCCAATCCCCACCCCACCCTAGTATGCTCAGCTGGAGCCGTACTGCCCCCTAGTGGCCACAGCACATCCCTACAAGTCCATGAGAGTCCTGTGGGTTTTGCATCAGGCTCTTTGTGTGGCATTCACTGCCCCAGGGCACGTCCCCCGGTGGAGGGTAGAGGGCTGGGACTTGAACTCAGACAACTGCCCAAGCATCCACCTGTGTGTGCTGTGAGACTGGCAGAATAGGGGTCACAGCATCCCCAGGGAGTTTAAAAGACTGGCCTGATATGGGGCACCACTTAATCCTGTACTCTTCCAGGGATGAGCATTCCATGGGGGTCCTTTCTTTTTTTTAAAAAAATTTAGTTTTATTTTTATTGGAAAGGCGGATATACAGAGAGGAGAGACAGGAAGATCTTTCGTCCAATGATTCACTCCCCAAGTGAGCACAACGGCCGATGCTATGCCGATCCGGAGCCAGGAGCCTCTTCCGGGTCTCCCACGCGGGTGCAGGGTTCCAAAGCTTTGGGCCATCCTCCACTGCTTTCCCGGGCCACAGGCAGGGAGCTGGATGGGAAGCGGGGCCGCCGGGATTAGAACCGGCGCCCATATGGGATCCCAGGCGTGCAAGGCGAGGACCTTAACCACTGTGCCATTGCACCGTGCCCTCCATGGGGGTCCTTAAATGTTTTTCAGGCAGAACATGATGCGACTCATACAAAATGAAGAAGCCTCTGGGGTTAGCGGCAGGAGAGGGCCAGGGATGAGAGATTGCCAGGGTGGAGGAGAGGGCCCAGATTTACCAAAGGACCCCAGCTATGCCCTTCCACCAGCGATGCTGTCCCACAGGAATGGGCAATTCTGTGGGACTGCATCCTAAACCACAGTCTGCAAGGCTCCACAGCTAAACAGATGCTCAGCTCTGCCAGGGCAGTGGGCGGGACAGTGGTGGCAGGGACGGGGCACTCAGTCATCAGCCGGTGCAGAGGCAGCCTGATCACCAGTGAGAGACCCCCTGCCTTAGGAGAGGAGGTGGGTGGGGGAAGTCTTCCCTGTGCAGTGTCCCGTCAGTGGCTGGAGTAAACCAAGGCAGGAGGGACTCTTGCCCAGTGCAGCGGACGCCTCCGAGCCAGCCTGGTGAAGAGCCATGGGACATGTGGACAGGTGGCAATGCACCTGACCTTGGCCTCCTCTGAGGTCTCCAGCAGCAGGCAGATACCCAGGAGCCACACCAGGCTGGAGCTCCAGGGCGGCTGCCCACTGTGTGTCCCTGCACGCTATCCTCAGGGCCACCCCTGACTCTGGGTCCTTCCTTCAATATGATGGGATATGGGCGACGCCAAGGATCAGAGTAGAAGCTCGCTTTCCCCTCTCTTCTAGAACCTTCTCAGTCAGGGCAAGGCCGAGGTAAGCTCGGTCTCCGTGGAGGAGGCAGCTGGTGGCTCAGGCGGGGAGGGGTTATCCATAGCTGGGAGAACAGCCTGCCTGGGGTGGGGTGGGGGGCTGAGCAGGAGAGGCAATGCAGCACCAAGCAGGGCTGCCTGGCCTGATAGCGGCTTAGGAGCTCTCTGAAGACACCTTTGCATGTCTCTTTCATATGATCCCCCACAACACGCACACATCCTTGTCCACACGGCCTGGATCCTAATTCACCATCCCCTGTATCCCCGATCTGAGCACCCAAATCCAGGGCAGGGGCCGTTACAGGGGGAAGGAACTCTGGGAGGTCGAGGCAGGCCTGGGGCCAGCCTGGGGCCCAGTCATCTCAATCTCTTCCCCCGGCCCCAAGTGTCCAGGAGTTTCCAATGGCCTTTATGACACCTAACAGGATCATGACAACCACAGCTTCCCCGAAAAGATGGCCTGGGGCTGCAGGAAGGAGAGCGAAGCAGGACTGTAAGCTAATGGAGCCCTGGCCGTTGACCCTCAGTAAGTCCCAGAGGTTACACCCGCTGGCACCTGCTGCAGGAAACCACGCCCTCTCCCCCGTCCCCAGCTCCTCTCCTGAGCTCATCAGATTTGCTCTTCAATAACTCCGGTGAGGACCCTGTTTCCTTTCTCCTTCCTCTCACATACACCTGTGTGTGCCATGCATGTACAAACACACCACACGTGACAGCAACCCTGCGACTAAGAAAAGAGAATGAGGAATGGCCCCACCTGCAAAGCCAGCCTCTGGGTCATTCAGGCTGGGTTTGGGGAAGCAGGAGGCTGGGCCTCTCAGAGATGGGGAGTCTGAGAGGACCCTCTCGCACCTTGATGGTGTCCTGCGGCCACCCAGCTCCCTTCACACACAGAGGCCCGCCACTAACTGTAGCAGCGAGGTTTGAACTTGGAGAACACACAGGAAGAAGCTTCTGGAAATAACTAGAAAGTACAGACACCCAGCTCCACCCTGAAGAACCAAGCCTCCTGGGAGAAGCATGGGGTGTGCCAGGCAGATGTTTGCAGATTCACAAGGAGGCATGCTTTTTTTTTTTTTCAGAATAGTGGGTTCCATTGGTGCCATTCCTCTCTGCAAGCATGGTGGATGGGAGCCCGGGAGGCCCCAGCTGCCTGATCACCCAGGCTATGATTTGTTGGGTTGAGCCAGGACGTGGTGCTGCCTCCTGGGAAGGACAGGCGGGCAACCAGTGGGCAAGTGCTGGTGGATCTGGATGCAAGGGTCAGGCATACAAGACCGGGCAGCCGCGAGGGCTTTCTGCTGGGCTGGGCAGCTCCAACTCTGCCAGCCCGGATGAGGCAGGTGCCAGACTCAATTCTGGCTCTCTCCGAGGCTCCAGAGGGGGGCGAGCATGAGCCGAGGGCAGAAATCAATGCATCGAGCGGGGCGTAGGGCCCTGGGATCCGGACAGTGAGGGTGGGGATGCACCTGCCAGCCCCAGGCCAGACCCTGCCTCAGCCCCTCCCCTCCACACACAGGGACCCCTTCCCACTGGCTTGATTCTCATTGTAGAAATGTGCTCCAGCAGCTCAGCCTGTGATCCATGTGGTTCTGGTTTCCCTGGACTCCAGAGAGGGAGGGTACCGTGTGTGTGTGTGTGTGTGTGTGTGTGTGTGTGTGTCTCGCTGGAACTTGGAGAAGAGAAAAACAGCCAAGTAGAACCTTCTCAGGAGATGGCCCCCTGAGACCGGAGTCCACGGAAGGGGGCGGATTCAAGGGGGAAAGTGGTGGGGCAGAGGTGGCCACTGAGGCCCAGCTGGATTGAGGGCAGCCGTCCCCCACTAAGCCGTGCATCCAGGCTGGTGTTTCTGCTACATGCCCAGTCCAGCCTGGTTCCCTATAATTCTAGGGGAACAGGTTATGGCCAGACAGCCCTTGCAGCTCAGCTCAAGGCCAGAACACTCTCCCCAGTACAGGCTGGCGGCCGCCTTCAACCAAAAGCATGAATATCAGGTTCATGCAGGGGGTCCCTCTTTAGACACCCTGTTGCCCTCCCCGGAGAGCTAGCTAGCTAATCCACCCCAACACAGCAGTGGGGGAGGGGTGGGAGGCAAAGCCAGCTCTTCCCCCGCTGGTCCAAGCCCTTGATTTGCGGCCGGTTTACCATGGCGCCCAGACTGGAGCCTGCCAAGTGTGCTGTGTGCCAGAGCAGAGGCTGGGCCTGGGGCTTGGAGGGGTACAGGAGCGGGGGCTGGGAACTCCAAGGCCTGTGTTGGCCTGTGGTCCTGCAGCCCCTTGTGGGTCCTTCCCCAGAGAGGCCGCCGGGCTAGGGCTGCTGGGTTGGGGGAGGAGGGTGCCGGATGTGTCCTGCTAGGGGCCCGTGGAACACAATAGACCCTGGGGCTGCCACTCTCTGGCTTAAGTGGTTGCCTGGGCAACAGTTGGGGCCAGTTTCCACCAATCCATAACAGAGGCTGGGTGGGGGGAGGGAGGCCCGCAGGAAAGGGGTGCCGGCCCCTTGTGCTGGATCCTATATAAGGGGAGGGATGTGAGAGCTGAGTGGCCTCAGTGACACCGTCTCTCCAGTGCACTTGGGGACACAGTGCACGGACATTCAGAATGGGTTCCTGCAAGCCGGGGTCCTGGGGCAGCTTCTGGGCCATCCTGACCTTGGTAGGCCTGGTCACTAGGGCAGGTGAGTGAGCGGCAGGAGGGTTGGGGGTGCAGGGCAGGAGCGGCCAAGGCCAACCGGGAGGGGGCAGTATCCAGCGGGCCCAGGAAAGCCCAGAGTAGATTACACAGCAGCCTTGTGGCTACTGGAAGGAGGGGAGGAGTGGCTGGGCAGGCAGGCGGGCAGGCAAGCAGGCAGGGGTGTTAAAGACAAAGAGACCCTCTTTGTCCTTTGTCCCGGAGAGGAGTGGGGATGCCATCAGCATTCAGGTCCTTCCAAGTGACAGCTGGGAGAGGCGGGGCTTGGAAGTTCACTAGCTCTTCCTATCTCCTTCCGTCTCCCTCCCTCATGGCACAGCCACCCTGCTCTCCATGAGGGTGCATATGCCATGGGCCTGTGTGCAGGGTGGGCTGAAGACAGTGGGGAGTGCAGTGGGCTGGTGCCCATCTGCTACTGCCAGACCCCCTCCTTGCCACCCCGTGTGGCCCCTCACGCCGCTGGCAGCCATTTCTGTGACTCTGTACCCATCCCCCTCTGACCCACATGGCAGCCCTGGAGTGGCCTAGGCGACAGCCTGGAAGGCGGTACTGTCCTCAGCACCCAGAGGGTCCTTCCCTTGCACCTGTTCACCCTTGGGGTTTCTTCTGGGGAGTGGGGCAGGGCTGAGCCTGGCAAATGGCTTCATTTTCATGCCCTTGTCCTTCCCACTCACCATCCTGTCTCCCAGCCCCTCTTCCTGCACCCAACCTGTCAAGTCCATCTGTCCTCAGCCACCACACTTCCTCGCTGGCCTGTGTGTGCTTGGTACCTGCTCACTGTGTGGAGTTATGCTTTCCTGCCAGTTCCATTCCAAGCCCTGAGGGGGCATTCCCAACATGCAGCAGGTGCTCAGGGAATGTGGGATAGCAAACGCTCAGGCAGACAATTCTTCGGCAGTTGAGAGGGGTGGGGACCATGAATTTCCCCCTAATCCCACCTGGGATCACGGAGACCACACAGGCTCAACACCTCTCCCTGCCTGGTATCTAGGCTTGTGTCCACCTGCTAGGGCGTGCACTGGCATGAGGAGACACCTGTCTCCATGCATCTCATGGGCACAGCCAGGTGTGCACATGGCCATCCTGGGCCCTTTGGCGCCCCAGTTTCCAGCCATATCCCTCCACCAAGGCCCCGCCCCTGCCCCAACGCCTTCTCAGGCTGCTCCGTGTTCCTTCCTGGGACAGCCCAGAGATCCGACGTCGGCGGGGAGGCAGCGGGCACCTCCATCAACCACTCGCAGGTGCTCCTCCAACGCCTGCAGGAACTGCTACGGCATGGCAACGCCAGCGATGTGGTGCTGCGGGTGCAGGCGGCTGGGAGCGATGAGGTCCGTGTCTTCCACACCCACCGCCTGCTGCTGGGGCTGCACAGCGAGTTCTTCCGGGGGCTGCTGAGTAACCAGAGCGAGGTGGAGCTGCAGGAGAGCCGTGAATGTGCCGCTGTCTTCGACAAGTTCATCAGGTGGGGCGGCTCTTCCACCTACCCACCGTCTCCAGTTCTCTCCCTGCAACTGCTGTGGGCTGTTTGAACATCAGTTCCCGCCCTTGGCAGGTCGGCTCCGAGCTCGGTGGCCGAGCTTTTCCATGTGCAGCTTCAGGTCCAGGAGCGGGACCAGCAATCATTGTTTTATTTTCAAGTCTCCATGTGGTTATGTTGTCTGGCCAAGCTTGGAGCCACAGGACGAGGGAGCTGCAAACGTCAGCTGTTTCCCCCCTCTTGCCTGCTGCCTCACCAGTGCACCCAGCCCAAGGGCGCCGTCCACCCTGTAGTCTGAGATAGTTAAGCCTGTTGCCATGACTCCAGCTGCAGAATCCCTGACATCCCCGACCCCCAGAGTGCCAGGCAGCAACCCGAGAACAAAGTGGGGCATCCAGTGGTAGCCGGAAGGGTGAGAGGGCAGCTGTCCACCCATGAGTTGGGGGGTGAGAGAGGCAGGGACTGTGAGGGGGGACAGACAGTAACCCAGCTGGTGGGCAGCACCTGCCTTCTGCTGATGGCCACCATGCCCCTGAAGGTGGGAGCACCTCCCCTGCCCTGGCAGGCTTAGTGGGCCCAGGGCCACTAAGGACCCTGCCAGTCTCATGGCTGGACTTGAGCCCATACTGTAGGGAGCCACCAGCGCTGGCTTTGCTCTGAGCCCAGAGCTGTGTACCTTTAGAGGCTCAATAATCACAGGCCCCTCACCTGTGAGAACCAGAAGCTGTGGCCAAGTAGGAGATCCCTGGGCCGGGGGTTCTTTAGGGGGAGAAAGGGGAAACAGGAAATGTCTGGAGACCATTCTGCTCCACTCGTGTCAATGGCCCCTGGGACTCTCCATCCAAGACCTGGGCCTCTCGCATGACTGGAAGTGCCTGGGGTGGCCAGGCCTAACTCACCCCACCTCTCTGCCTCCCCCGCAGGTACCTCTACTGCGGAGAGCTGACCTTGCTTCTGTCCCAAGCCATTCCCCTGCACCGGCTGGCCACCAAGTACGGTGTGGCCACCCTGCAGCGGGGCGTGGCCGACTACATGCGCGCGCACCTGGCGGGTGGCGTGGGCCCGGCCGTGGGCTGGTACCACTACGCGGTGAGCACCGGGGACGAAGCCCTGCGCCAGAGCTGCTTGCAGTTTCTGGCGTGGAACCTGTCGGCCGTGGTGGCGAGCACTGAGTGGGGCGCCGTGAGTCCCGAGCTGCTGGCGCAATTGCTGCAACGCTCGGACCTGGTGCTCCAGGACGAGCTGGAGCTATTCCACGCGCTGGAGGCATGGCTGGGCAGAGCGCGGCCGCCCCAGGCCGTGGCTGAGCGGGCGCTGCGCGCCATCCGCTACCCAATGATCCCGCCCGCGCAGCTCTTCCAGTTGCAGACACGCTCGCCAGCGCTGGCGCGACACGGCCCCGCAGTGGCCGACCTGCTGCTACAGGCCTATCAGTTCCACGCCGCCTCACCGCTGCACTACGCCAAATTCTTCGACGTCAACGGCAGCGCCTTCCTACCGCGTAACTACCTCGCGCCCGCCTGGGGCGCCCCGTGGGTCATCAACAACCCAGCCCGCGACGACCGCAGCACCAGCTTCCAGACACAGCTGGGCCCCAGTGGTCACGATGCTGGCCGCCGCGTCACGTGGAACGTGCTCTTCTCCCCGCGCTGGTTGCCCGTCAGCCTGCGGCCCGTCTACGCCGACGCCGCGGGCACGGCGCTGCCCGCTGCACGCCCGGAGGATGGCCGGCCGCGCCTCGTGGTCACGCCAGCCAGCAGCGGCGGGGACGCAGCTGGGGTGAGCTTCCAGAAGACTGTGCTGGTGGGGGCGCGCCAGCACGGCCGTCTGCTGGTGCGTCACTCCTACAGCTTCCACCAGAGCAGCGAGGAGTCCGGGGACTTCCTGGCGCACGCCGACCTGCAGCGGCGCAACTCCGAGTTCCTGGTGGAGAACGCGCTGCACCTGCACCTCATTGTCAAGCCGGTCTATCACACACTCATCCGGACCCCCAAGTAGCCTCTGCAGGGGGGAGGGCGGGGAGGAATCAAGGCCTGGCCCAGGTGGCGTCGGGTGCGGAGGTGACCACGAGCCACCTCGGAATGGCCAGGTGCTGGCGCGTTGGAGTGGGGTGGAGGCGGTGTGAGTCGGGAGGGAGAGACCAGACCCATTTTGCTGCTGACTTGAAGGCCCTGCCCTTGGTGCTGAATAAATCCATGCTCAGAGAGCAGAGGGGATGTTGGAACCACCTGGGGGAGGGCCAGGACATGGAGCAGGGCAAGTAGGGACAGCCAAATGGGTAGGGCAGCTGTCGGGCCTGGGCACCCAAGTGGCCGCTGGCTGGAATTTTCTCCCTTTGACGCTTGGGGCTTACAGGTGCCATTCCCAGCTTCCCACTTCTGGGGTCAGCCGGCCCACCGGCCCACCGTGATGAGGTCCCCTGGGGTTTGTAGGTGGATCGCTGGGCAGCCAGCCAGGAGAAGGTGAGGGATGGGGAGGGAGCTGGTTGCAGCTGTGTTGGTCACAGGTCAGCCCTCTCATTCCATACAAGGTCTCGCCTCCAATGAGATTTTATTGTTAAAAAGGAAGGGGGTATAAAAAGTCACTGTCAAGTAGCAAAAGCAGGTGCCCTCCCCATCCTGACCCCTGCCCTGTTCACCCAGGATAGCCTTGCTTCCAAGCGTGGGCCCTGGGAGCCTTGCTCACTGACGCCAACTCTGCCCTCCCGGCTGAACCCGGCCATGTGTCTGGGAAGGGTTTGGCAACAGCGTCCCCCTGGAGCGGGCAGGCCACGCCCCCAGGGCTCCCTCCCACCCATCCCTGGTGGCACTGAATACATGGAAGTGGGTGAGGCCGGACAGACGCCTTGCAATTCCTGGGCCTCGAGAGCCCCAGGGCTCCTTCCAGGTCACCGCCACATGCCAAAGCCTCCATCTCCTGTGTCCTGTTGCACTCCGTTCAGCCTTGCGGACAGGAGAGCCGGTTCCAGCAGGGCCCTCTCTCAGTTATGCCAGAGGCGTCCATCTTTGCCGTGGATGCTGGTGCCATGGGGCAGGCGTGGCCCACGAGCAGCTCGTCGGGACATTCCTGCTGGGTGCACAGTCAGTGGAGAGGACTCCCTGGGGCCTGCTGCAAAAAGGACCAGCATTTAGGAGCGCCCACTTGGGGGCCATGGCTCCAGGAGGCCAGCCGCCTCTACCCCAGCCTAGACACAGCTTACTTTCCCAGTACTGACCCGTGCTCTGGCCTGGAGGGAGTTTGACTTTGGCCAAAGGCAACATGACCTTTCCCAGATGCCGGAAGCTGGGGGCCAGGTGCCCGCAGCATCCTGGCAGCCTGGGGTCTGAGACACCTTCTGTGGGGCGGGGTCCAGGGAGATGTGTCTTGGGGTGAGAGAGCTGTACAGGTTGGAGAAAAATGAGGTCAGGTTGAAAGCTATACAGGGACCTGCCCCCTGCCAAGACCAGAGCTCTTGCTACAGCCAAAGGGCTCCTAGTGCCCCACGCCCTGCTGGGCACCTTACCCCTTGTCCCGTGACCTCGAAGGACCTGGACCTCCGCTTCCTCCTCTTGGCCTCCAACGACTCCTCCCTCTTCTTGCCCAGGCTTTTCTTCTGACCGCGCAGCCAGGGCTCAGCCTGTTCCCCACAGTGCCTGCCCGCCCGGGCCGGGGTCTCGCCCGTGCTGCTGGAGAGGTTGTCCTCGCTGGCTGCGTGCTGCAGTGTGGGGCTGGGGGGCCGCTTGCAAGCTGGGGACCGCACCTCCTCGGACTCGCTCAGCGAGCACAGGGACAGGCTGCTGCGTTCCAGGGTGGGCACCACCAGGAGGCGCCCCTTTGTGCCCAGAGCCCGCGAGCGGCGCCGGGCGGCCTCCTCTGAGATGCACTTGGTACCAGTCAGGATTTCCTTTTTCTCTGCTGGAGAGGAGAGGATAGGGGGATATGGACAGGGGTCCAACGGGGCATCCACTGCCAATACGCTATCCTCTGCTATGGCAGAGATGGGCAGAAGCCCGAACAAGCCACCAGCACCCTCAGCTTTGCAAGGGCATGTTGCTGCCATAAACCAGGGATAGCAAAACCAATCCCTCCTCACAGGCTTCTGGTGAGGATCGGGAGACACAATAGGTTCAGCCTGCAATACCCAAGGTACATGGCTTCTGTCTTATCTGCTCACAATGGTTACACTGGAGAGGGAGAGGTGATGCCACAAGCCATGCCTAATGGCACCAGTGTGCCAGAGCAGGTGTCCAATCCTGCAGGTACCAGCACCCAACATGCAGGTGCAGTGAGCAGAAGGGAGCATGAGAGGGCTCCAGGCTGGAAGATCTGAGCAGTGTGGGAGATGCCAGGCAGAGGGGGGCAGGGTGGGCATACCCACCTCTGTGGGACAAGGGTATCTCTGACAGGTTCTCGCTGCTCTCGGGGGAGGAGTCGATGCGGCTGTCCTGGGTGGGGCCCTGCCGGGTGAAGGCCTCGTTGGGAGAGAAGGACCAGAGTGTGGAAGAGCCTGGGGCAGCTCCAGCCCAAGGGTGGAGGCTCCCCTGCTGCGTCCCCCCACCCCTGGCAATATAGCCTGGCTGAGGGCTGGGGTGCACTCTGAGCTCACCTCCTGGCTCACCAGGTTGCTGATCTGGATGGGAGGAGGGGTGGGCACGGAGGACGTCTTGGCCTGCCAGGCCCGGGGACTGGCCTTGAAGATGCGGTGTGCTTCACTAGGGGGTGGGCAGAAGAGGAGGGGTTGCCTGGTGACCGGGCTGCTGCTAAGGCAGTCCCACCACCCAACACCAGGGGAGAAGTGGCCCTGGCTCCAAGCCTGCACTATCTCCTTCCCTATAGTCCTGCTCAGTCTGATCTGATCTTGGGCTGCCATCCTGGGCCAGGTGGCAGCAGGGACCACGGCAGGAAGGAGTGGCAAGAAGTGGTCCCCATCTCACCTGTCGGTGCCCAGGGGAGGGAGGGTGCTGCTTTGCCAGCGCCGGGTCTCACAGCTCAGCCCTTTCACACTCTCAGGGTCAGAGTCCGGGGTCAGCGTGGTTCCCGCGGTGGTGATTTTGGGTAAGGAGCTATCCTGGGATGGAGAAATGGGGGTGGGTGAGGACAATCAGAATTAGCCCCAGGCCAGGTACCATCACAAGGACAAGGACCCAATGACCTGCAGTGCCTGCCAACCTGGATCCATTCCCATCCCAGCTGCTTGCAGGCATGGCCTGGGAGGGCAGCCGCTTCCTTGACACATGCGCACATGGCAGGCCCATGCAGGTGCTCACCTGCAGGGCCCTGGAGGCCACGCGGTCCAGGATGGTGGCCCGCTCCAGGCTGCCCTCCTCCAGCTCCCGCAGGTATACTTCGTAGAGCTCCTCCAGGTGCTGGGGCACCGTCAGGTTGTAGTCTGCTGGGGAGAGAGAGGGCTCAGCGCGTGCCCGCAGGCGGCCGGCGCTGGCGCAGCCGCAGGAGTGCGGCAGAAGGCCCTACCTTCGATGACCTGCCGCTGGCCCTGGATGATTTCATCGCATAGGCTGCGGTGCTGCTCCAGGCGTCGCACAGCCTCGCGGCGGTGGCGGAGCGCGCCATCGCGGAGCAGCGCGTGCGACTGCATCTCGGTGTTTTCCACCTCGAGCTCGTGCACGCGGCACAGCAGGCTGAGCACCTCGCGCTGCTCCTCGGAGCCGATGCGCCGTGGCAGCGTCTCCTCCAGGCGCCGGCCCCGAGCGCGCAGCTCCCGACAGCGCTGCTCCAGCGCCAGCTGCGGGCAGGAAGACGGACCACATCAGCGCCAAGCAGCAGCCGGGCTTGCGTGTGCCGCCCCCCACCAGGCTGGGATTCCACGTGGAGACCAACCCTTTCAGTTCTACCTTGGGCCTTGCACCCAGGTGCCCCTGTGGGCATACTATCCCAGGCGCTCTGGCCCCCATGCACCACCCCGGAGCCCAGACACCCTAAGGACTCAGGCCTCCCTAACAGAAGGCAAAGATATGTCACCCATAAAACCCGACCTAAAATATTAGCTGCCGGTCATAATATCAACTACCTTTTTTTTTTTTTTTTTGAGCACCTGGTCATTTATTTACTCTCAACAACCTCATGAGGACTGTCCTGTGAGTGGACCCATTTTACAGATGAGGAAGTAAGGCCCATAGAGCATAAAGCACTTAGCAAGGTCGCCAGGAATTGTGGCCTGAATGGCCAGGTCCCCCTGCCCTTCTGACCCCCAGCTCCTCACACTTCCTCTCTTGAAGCCCCACGCCCTGTGCACCTTTTGCTCCCGCAGCTTCTTCTGCTCGCCCACGAGGGCGGCGATGCTCTCACGGGCCGAGGCCACCTCAGGGGGCTCCAGCAGGTCTGGCTGGTCCTCCCCGGGATCCGAGTCCTTCTCACTGTCGTCCTTAGTGTAGGATTCCTTCCTCTGTTCCTCCCGCCACTTGAGGGCTCTGCGCGACTTCTCATGCTCCCAGCTGCCACGGCCCCACCCAGAGAAGACACAGCATTCAGGCCGGTGTGGGGAATGGGCACGCTGAGCAGCCATACTCCTGGTTGCTTTGTGGGACAGGGGCGGGGTGTGCATACCCAGCGATGGTGAGCAGGTGGCGGGACGTGTCAATCTGGACTTCCATGGCGTGGTTCTCCAGCTCCAGCAGGTGTCTCCGTACGTCCATCTGCTCCTGGAAAGCGCTGACCAGCTGCTCCCGCAGCTGGCCCATCTCCACCTGCTCGCCCTGCCCACCGTGTAGCTGGACCTCGGCTGCCCAATGGGTTGGGGGTGGGACCGTGGGGAGAGGAAGGCTTAGGCCAGGAAACATCCTCAGTTTCTTTCCCAAACCGCAGTTCCCACTTCCTGTGTAACTACTTCCTCTTGGAGGAGTAGCTCACCCCGTAAGCACACTCCCACCTTGCACCTGCAGGCTGCTGTGCAGGCAAGGGCTCTGGCAGCTCTGCAGGAGCTGGGCTTGCCTTGCCCTTAGCCTTTGTGTCAGTTAGTAATGGGCATCCCTGCAGCCTTGCTGTGCAGCCCCCGGGGGACCCCACCTAATCTTCCTGCCAGCTTTCTCAAGCAGAAATCAAGACCCCATTTTAGAGCCAGGGCAGGAAGTCTCAGAGCAGCTGAGGGAATGTGGCCTAAGGCCACAGCAGGTGTCTGCGTGGAAACCTGGGGTGCTGTGAGACCACCTGGGGTGGGTGTGGGGAGAGGGGAAGCTGCCGAGACCCCGGCGCACACCTTGGATGTGGCGGATGTCAGCCTTCTCCTGCCGGCCCCGGGCCTGGCCCCGTCCGGCCTGCTGGTCGATCTTGCACTTGAGCCGCTGGATCTCACCCCTCAGGTCGGCGATGATGCTGGTATACTGAGCAATGTGGTAGGAAACATTGAGCAGGTTCTGCTTCACCTGCAGGGAGCACAGAGACAGGGCCGTGGGCACAGAGTCACCCCAGATTTGGGGGGTGGCCTGTTTCCCTCCTTCTTCCCCACTATGTCTCAAGTTTTCTGGATGACAGCCAAGGTCACCTCGGCCTCCAGCCCCACTACCACCGCTCCCCTCTCCATCCCTCTGCTGGACCCTTGCTGCTGCCCAGGCTCCATAACCTCCAGTAACTCCCTACTGCTTAGGGCGATGCCTCCATCCCTCTGCCTGGTATGGTTGCCCACTGCTATATCATGCTTTATTTTTTTAATCACATGAACTTTCTAGCCCATGAACTACATTATTCTCTGCCTTGTCCTCCATATGCATCATCTTCCCACTAGGAATCTGCATCTTTCTTCCTCCCATCCTTCCAGAATGTTCTGGAATGTTCTCCCCATCCTTCAGGGTCACATCACAGTCTCCCCATTCACTGACTTGCTGCAGTACCTGCTGCTGGCACCATCTCCCTGCCCTTTATAACACCCTAGGGAAGTCATGCAAAACTGTCCACTCTCCCCCGATGAGCCACACACACAGTGACTGCAGGGTCTCCAGATGTGGTTCCCAGAGAGGTGGGAATGTGGACTTGGAACCGCACAGACTGGTCGCAGTCCATTCCTGGGAAGTCACATCGAACCCTTCAGCCTCACTGTCCCAGTAAAATGGGGAAGTGATGACCCCTGTCTAATGGTGACGCCCAGATGCCCTTCTGTGTTAAAGGGCCACGAGCATGCGCTCAGTGTAGCGTCGCCTCCATTCCTCCACTGGGGACTGAGCCACAGTGAGCTGCTTTGAGAATGCAAAGACCCAACCAGGCTCTGAGGACAGAAGGGCCGAGGCAGGGGGCAGCCCAGCAAGGAGACAAAGAGGGGCAGCCGAGCAGGGGCCCAGGGTGACATCTGATGAGGGAACAAGGCCAGCCCAGGGCAGCTGCCTCCTTCCAGGTGGCCAGAAGCTACGCTGGGGTCCTCACCCTGGTCTTGATGTTCTTGGCCCGGCCGGCGTAGGTCAGGGTGTTCCGGGACTCCTCAAAGGCGCTGCTGGCTGGACTGATGTGGGCAATCATTACTGTGCGGCTGTTTCCACCCAGGGAGTCCTGGATGCGGTAGGCTGTGGTCAGCTGGAGACTGCATCCCCAGCCATGCTGCTTCGTGGCTGTGTGTGTGTCCCCTCTCTGCCTGCCCTCGGCCTTCCTTCTCTCCTTCACACACACACACTCATGCACACACACGTCACACAGGTCTGGCTGCACAGCATCCCATGGTGCAAAAAACAGGGGAGGCAGAGGGGAAGGAGTCCCAGCTACAGCCAGTCCCAGCCCTGGGTCCTCCTGTAAGCTCTACAGCCCCCGCTGGGCCTCAGTGCCCTCTCTTTAAGGGGACTCTGGTTTGCAGCTAGCTGGGGAGCACAGCCAAGTTGGCTGTTTCTCTGAGGTTTGCAGAGCCCAGCCTTCATGTTTTGCTTTGTTCAGCCCGTCAGCCCCACCGGTGGGCTGCATGCACTTTGGGGCCAGCAGCAGTAGCTACCTTCAGGAGCCGGGTGAGCTTGCTGTCACGGTAGTTGATGTACTTGTTGCTGCTCTTGTCGCTCAGTGCGTTGATGCAGTTGCCCAGGGCCAGCAGCGAGCGGTTGATGTGTGCTCCCTCTTTCATGCGCTGCCCACGGTTCTGGGTCTATGTGTGAACAGAGAGCCACACCATGGGCTACACCCCTGCCACCCCGCCCACACCCAGGCCGTGAGCCCTGCTGTCCCCCTCGGGCCTTGAAATGCATCAAGAGCAAACCTCGTCCACCCTCTGCCTGGGGTTGTTGTGGTTCCCCTGGGCAAGTAAGGGACACAGTGTTCCCAAGGAGGCTTCCCCAGGACCAGAGGGCTGTGTGGCTTCAAGGAGGAAGGAAAGCATGCATATGTGTGTGCGAGACAGAAACAAACAGATGTACACATGTGTGTGAGGGCACAGAAATGAATTTGTATATGTGTATACATCTGTAGGTGTGTATGTGTGCAATACAGCAATGAATGGGTGTGTGTGTGCGGATATGCGGGTGGGTGCATATGTGTGTGAGAAAGCATAGAAATTATGTGGGTTGTAAGTGGGCAAGTGTGAGAGAACAAAAATTAGTGTTGTGTGTATGTGCTTGTGTGTACACACGTGCACATGTGTGTGTGTCGGGAGGGGTGGCTCACCTGGGAGGCGCGCTCTGAGCCAGCCAGGTCGATCATGAAGAGGCGGCCCTGCCGCACCTCCTGCAGGATGTCCTTGACCCGGCTGCGCTGGCGCACGGCCACCTGCAGCACGGCGTGGGAGCGTGATGACGTCTGGTTGGCGGCCGTGGGTTCCTGTGTCCGCTGCCGGTTGCCCTTCATCAGCAGTTGCATAATCTGGATGGCGGGAAGCAGGAGGGGTGGGTCTTGGGGACCCCGTGGGGGTGCTGCTGCAGAGAGGAGGCAGCTCTGGGGAAGAAGAGGGGCTGGCAGAGTGTACCAGCTCCAGAGGAGGAGGATCTCTGGGTAAATGGGCCAGCCCTGGTGAGCAGCTGTGGTTTTGCCATCTCTCTGGGTCTCCGTGTTGGAGCAGGTGGCGGCTCCCTGGCTCCATACTCACCCGCCCTGCCCTCTTTCCACAGCCTCTGGCTGGCACACGAGACTTGCCTCTTTGGCATTGATGGTGGAGACTTCGGTGATGCCAGCCACCTGGATCACCCCTTTGGAGTCCTCCCTCAGCTCCAGGTAGCCCAGGGTGGGGTTCAGCAGGTCCCGGATCACCTCATTGTAGATCTGATAAGGCCAGGAGGGGAGATGTGGAGAAGGCATTCATGGGCATCTAAGGCCCCGGTCCCCAACCTCCTGAGCAAGGACACACGAGTTCCCACTTTCTGAGCCTCAGACTCCTCCCAGAACGGCCCCAGTGGGGGTGAGAGGGGCAAGCCCCTTCCTTTGTAGGAGACCAGGGGGGCCAGGTGCTTCCTCTGGGTCTCTCATGTGGGTATAGAGGCCCTAACACATAGGCCATCCTTTGCTGCTTTCCCAGGCACATTAGCAGGGAGCTGACTGGGAAGTAGAGCAGCTAGGACTGAACCTGGTGTCCATATAGGATGCTGGAGTCACAGGTAAAGGTTTAGGTTGCTATGTCACAAACACCAGCACCCATAGTGGCTTTGAAACCAAGCATCTCCCTCTGCAGACAAGCCAGGCCCTGGCAGATTTGTCCAACAGCCAAATGCCTTGGTCAGGTAGGGAGATCTGCTCATTGCTAGGCAACCCTCAGGCTCCTTTTACTGGGGCACCCCACCCCTAGATTGAGTCTTGTGGGCTGGATAGTCACCACACGCACTGGCCAGGCAGCTGCGACCAGCTCCACCTCACTGCCCTTCCCATACTGCCATCCAGGAGATGGAGCACAGTCCACTGGCCCCCATGCCCATCACTGCCTGGTAGTAGCTAGTGGAGTGTGTTGGCCCAGTGAGCAGAGCTGTGCTTGCTGTGTGTGAGTAGCCTGGTGGGCTCACCTCTCTCTGAGACTGACCTGGCCCAGGCAGGTCCCCAGGGGAGCAGCACCCTGTGCCATGTACCTTGGGGAGGAGAAGGGCAGGGCTCACCTCCAGGTAGGACATGGACACTTCATATTCCATGTCGTTGCTGGTCTCCTCAATGGCACGGAAGAGGTCGTTGAGGGTGCGAACGTAGATGCCGGGCTCACGATCAGTGCCCAGCATGGTGTAGGTTTTCCCACAGCCTGGGCAGGGCAGGGAGGGGCCGGGAGAGGGGACCTCGTGGGCTGGGGTTCTGGGCAGATCCAGCTCTGTTCTCAAGGCCAGGCCCTCCCGGGGTGGCGGGGGGCATGGACGGCTTCCCTGGCTCAAGGTCAGCTCTCAGAGGCTGCAGGAACCTGGGTGGGGTCAGGAGCAGCCACATCCCTGGTTGAGTTTTTGAATGGGGCCATGGGTAGGGGGGAACTGGTCCCAGAAGAGGGACAGGGACAGAGGGACATTGCAGTCCTTGCCTGGCCTGGGCTTCCCCTCACCTGTGGGGCCGTAGGCAAAGACCGTGGCGTTGTACCCTGAGATGACACCTTCAATGAGGCTCTTGGTGGTGGCCTGGTACACCATCTCCTGCCAGCAGGAGGGGGAGGGAGAGGAAGGAATCACAGCCTGGACCACAAGTGGGGCAGAGCACAGGCACCCACAGGCACATTCAGTCCCCAGGGGAAGAACTTTCTGTCCCTGGAGCCCCCTCCACCAGCCCCACACCGTGGGCCTGTGCAAAGTGGGGGCAGAGAGTCGGGGAGGGGATGTCTGATTACACCCTTTGGCGGGGATTGGTGAGAGCTGAGGACATCTGAGACAGCTCCCCTCACAGCTGGCCGTTTCCACCCAAAGCTCCGAAGACGCACTGCATGTGCTGCGGGAGCATTGTGGAGGTGGGTGGGATGGAATCCCTGGGAGGGTGCCAGCCCCACTGAGAGCACCCCAAGCTGGGTTCCCGGCACCACATGGCCTCAGGTTCTTGCTCTGGCTCCAGCAGGGGCCAGCCCTGCCCTGCTCTGGGTGGGGACTCCCATGTTGGGTCAGGGAGGGTAGTGTGGTATTGATCCAAGTGTGTGCATGCAGGAGAGTGGTGGGCACACGCAGTATACAGGCACATGCAAGCTTCAGGAATGGAAAACGCCCGGGAGAGTGGATCCTTGAGCATGTGGTGGAAGCAGGGTAGGGATCATTGTCAGGCCCCTCCCTGGCAAAGAGTAGAGATGGGCACACCTGGGTGGCAGTGAAGTCGAAGGCCACATCAAACAGGTAGGACTTCTCCCGGGAGCGATGTGCCCGCAGGATGTCGTCGGGGTCCTCCATGGGATCCATCAGGACCACCATCTGCAAAGCCCCCAGGGAGAACTGAGGCTGCAGTGTGGCATGCCAGAACCAAGCCAGGTCAGCCCCAGTAGTGAGCAGACAGTGTAGGCTCTGGCCTCTCCCTAGCCAGGACCTGCTGGGGTCCTTCTGCTGTCCCTCAGCAGCTCTCCAGGAGCCAGGACCAGCCATGTGGCCCTGGATGCCCAGAGGAGACACGTCCCACACAACTCAGTGCAGCCCTGAAGGGCTGGCACAATTCCAAGAAACTGAGGACCCCAGGGAGCCCCAGGTCCAGGGACCCCTTCCCTAAACTGCAACTCCTCCTCCCCACTGCCTTGCCCTGCATGGGCACAGCAGGAGCAACAGCTGGCATTTCCAAACTGCTTCTTCTAGGTCAGGACCTGCCTTTGTACATTGCATCCAGAGCCCGCCTGCAGCCCCAGGTTCTGGCACCACTGCCTACTCCCATTTTATAGACAATGGACTCAGGGTTTGAAGAAGACCCTGGCCCGGGGCCCAGGCTCTAAAGCAAGCACAAACGCCTAGACAAGGTACAGCCTTTGGGGCAGGAGCTTCCTTTCTCAAGTCATAGGCTAGCAGGTGAAGGAATCAGGGTTCAACATCAGGGTGTGGGTTCAAAGCCCCCAGACCTTTAACTGTCTTTCTATAGCCATGTAGCATCTGGAACACTGCCTCCTCTTCCTCATTCTCCCCATGGCACCCAGCCCTCAGCCAGCAGGTGGACATAGCAAGGAGCAGCTGGCAATTGGACTTGGGGGTATCCTCATCGCTGGCTCTCAGCAGCCAAGAACCTGAACTGGGAGCAGAGGGAGAAGCTGGGAGATCCCAGGTTGGAGGCCTGGAGTGGACATGGATCACTCTGTCACCACTTGTGATCCCTTCCCACAGAGCAGGGGAGGCTGTGGAGACAGAGGTGTGACTGTGGCAACACAGGAGACCCCGCCAGGTTCTGACCCTGTTCTGAGGGTGACCAGCGGAACCCATTTTGTAGAACCATCTCCAAGCTGTTCCACTTGCCCCAGGTCTCAGATGTGCTGAGGCTTGTCTTGGTCTTTGGGAGGAGATGAGGGGAAGGGGCTGGCTCCTTGTCAGGGCATCCTGGACTCAGGCGGGGAATATGAAGTTGTTCAAAGACACATGGTTGGGACAGTTTGAGTTTGGGGGCAGAGGGCAAAGCAGGAGAAGAGCCTGATGGTGGCTCTGAGAACCCATGTTGCCCCTTACTAGCAAGTGGCCCTGCCCAAGTGCTGCCCTGCCCAAGAGCCCCGGTCTCCTGCTGTGTCACAAAGGCAGCAGGACCGCTGCCTTCAAGGCTGTGAAGGTTCCTGTAGGTGACAACGTGTGCATGGTCACAGGGCATAACCAGGACTGCGGGTTCTTTCTTCTTTCAAGGGGCTGAGAGGGAGCACAGCAGGCAGGCCATCCGCCCCCTTACCCCACCTCTGGCTTCACTGCCCTGCTCCCTGGAGGTGGCCCTTGAGGGTTGCTGCACGGTCAGGTGCTGCTGCTCTACCAGGCAGCGCCCGGCTCCTGCCAGACACCCCAGGGAAAGCCAGCCACACTGTGCAATCTCCTAATGAGGTTCAGGCACTCCCCTGGGGCCGTGGCACTTCAGGGAGTGCCAGACAGGCACCTGTGCCAGACAGGGCACCTTACCAGTCCTTTCTCTGCTAGTGGGAGGTGGGGGGGGCTGTGTTGGAGAGGGGGCATAGGCAGCTGCCTCCTCCCAGGTTTCATAGCAGTGGGCCCCCTTAATTTCAATTCATTGGTTCCAGACTGGAGTATTACTGGGGAATGGCAGGGACAGGCCAGGCTCCTAGTACCCCAAGGGGCTTCGAGGGGTGAGGGTGGGTTTTCTGTGATCTGAGTGGGTTCTGGTACCCTCTGTGCACTTTACCCCCCCCCCCCACAAAGGGCTGAGATACAGTGCAAGGAAGTAAACTGAGTCCTGCTGGAAGGCGAGGCACCAAGGAGGGGACCCAAGGGAGCAGGGACAATGGATCCACTCCCTGCCTATATCAACAGGGCGGACCTGGGCCAGCGACATTCTCTAAAGGAGCCTGGGATCAGACAAGGCGTGGGGTGTGACGCTGGGAGGGGGCAGAGGAGGGCCCAGAAGCCACCAAAGTCATGGATCTGGAACATTTGTGGGGTCCCTCTAGGCCCACCCCCAAGGGTTTAGGGGGTCCCCTCCTCCTGGGCAGGGCACACACCTGTGCAAAACTGGCCTCAAACTTCAGGATCCAGCCAGCCCTCTTTGGGGATTCTCCACAGAGGAGGGAGGGTGGGGAAGAGGCAGCCCCCCAGCCCCTACAGCCTGGGGGAGACTCGTATCCACTCAGAGGGCAGCCTTGGAGGGGTGCTGGCTGGCTAGAGGGGCACCTCCGGGTCGACTGGGGGTAGCACCCTATGTAGTAAATGAGGAAGACCACTGGCTTCAGCCTTCTCCTAGGTGTCCCAAGGCTGTGGCCACAGTGAGCTCAGAGCTGGGTGCCTGCCCCCTCATACCCCCACTTCCCTACCCATCCCATCAGGCCTTAGTGCCTGGAAACCTCTTTTAGGATCCTGTCTCTGCCCCAGGCCCTGAAGCCAGCAACATGCTCAAGTTTCAGAGCCAATTGAAGATAAAACCTGGCTCTGAGTCCCCAAGGAATACAACAGAAACCTCCCCAGCCGTGCCAGCTTTCACCTGGGTGTGTCTGCGGTGAGGAGGAAGCAATGCCCCTGTGGGTGGGAGTGGGGCTGTGCCCCTGTGGAGCGGACAGAGCCAGTAGCCTGAGGGGCACCATTTGGGGGCCCTCACTGCTAGGAGGCACTGACTCCCATCCCCTACCAATGACCTTCACATGACCTCTGGGCACTGCCAAGTTCCTGGCATCCTGAGCATCTGGTTTCTCTACCCACATCAGCCCACTGCCAGCACAGCCACCACAAGTCCCCATTCAGAGAAGGCTTTGTGCAAATCCATCATCCTGGGCCCCAGCTCCAGCCAATCCCCACCCCAAGACCATCACCCCCATAGCTGTCCACCCTGACACACAGTGGAGCCCTTGTGTTGCTTGGCCAGGTATCTGGACAAGTCCAACACATCTGAGCTTCCTTCCCTGTGCCAGGTACTGAACAAGGACCCCAAGGAGACAGCCAAACCAAGGCCAGGGTCCTGTCTTGACCTGTCCATCTCACTTTAAGAGCCACACCGATGAGCGGTCTGGAGCCAACCCTGCTGGAAGAGGAAAGCTTCCCAGAAGAGCTAGCTCTGGCATTGTGTCCTAAACAGTGTGCGGAGAGATGGGGCTAGAGAACCTTCTAGAGGCACAGGGTGGGGGTGCTGTGGGTGCTGGTCCTCAGCTCAGACGACAGAGCTAAGTCAGGAAGCCCTGGAGTTTCCCATTCTACCCCCTAGCCAGGATTCTTATGTGTGCATCCATCCACTGAGGCAGGCAGGGCTGGGCCTCCACCCCCCGCTATGAGCACCTGCTGCCCAACCCACCCCCGCCAACACCACCTCGGAACTTCTAAAGGTCAGCCTAACCTGTACACAGCAGAGGCCCCAGGGGACATTGGTGGAATAAAGGTGTTACTGATGGGGGCGTTGTGTGCACCAGGCATTAGGCCAAGGTTTGGCTGCATTTGCTCAAGGGATTTGATCATTTCAGGAGAGACACTCCCAACCTTGCTGGGCAGAGGGAGAGGAAGCAGAGTGGTTAAGGGATTTCTCAGGGCCACTCTGTGAAATACACAGCCAATTGTGCTCAGAGATGCTTAGGTCCAGAGCCCATCCTGCCCACCGGCTGCCTCTCTCAGCAGCTGCCTGGCTATGGGAGTGCCCACCTGTTAGGAGTTGAATTATGTTCCATTTACATGCCTAAGTTCTAACCCTGGTACCCTTCAAGCCAGTCTTTATTTGGAAATGATGTCTTGGCAGATGTAGTTAGTTAAGTCTGCAATCCAATATGAGCACCAGGGAATGTGGGGAAATGTAGGCGCAAGATGCTAGAGCAAAGCTGAAGCAGAGCCAGGGCCAAGGTGGCCTCTACAAGCCAAGGAGATAGGCCTACTGCATGTCCTGCGTTGACCCAACTTCTGGCCTGTAGAAACGGGAAATGTTGGACTGCCCAGCCACCCTGCATGTGGCACTGCATCACAACAGCCTTGTAAAAATAACATACCACCTGAGGCAGGTTGCACCTGCCACAGGGAGATGGGAGTGTCCCGGAGTCCAGGGCAGAGGGCTTCAGCTGGCCTCTCACCTAGCCCTAAACAGGTGGGCTGCATATGGGCACCATTCTTACAACCCCAGGCTGTACACACTCAAGCCCTGGGCACCTGCCTCTTGGAGGCGTCTATGTGTCCTACCCCATGACACACAGGGCTGGCCAGAAGCTGGGGGACAGGGCCAGGAACAGAGAGGAAGCAGCCTCACAGCACAGCCCTGCCCCTGCAGGCCCAGCAACTTCAGGTCTCCTGGCTCTGCCTCCCCCTGTGCAGCCTCCATTCTCAGCCTCTTTGGCCTTCCTCGGCTGATTGTGAGCTATGGTTCAAGACCTTCTAAGGTATCTGAGCTTGGAAACCCAAGATCCTGTAGGGTAAGGGGATGGTGGGGGACTCAGGGCAGGCAGAGGGGGTCTGATCCATCAGCTGTGACCCATGAGGGGCCAGGCCCTTGCTAACATCTCTTAAGTGAGAAATACTGGAAAGCACGGCAGGAATTAGCCCACAGCACCTCCAAGTCATGGTGCTTCATCTAACCGAGAGAATCTGAGAGAACTCCCGTGTACTGATTCACTCCCCAAAAGCCTGCACCGGACAGAGGAACAGGATTGGTTGAAACTGGGAGCCAGGAAGTGGGTGAGCCAGGAAGTGGATGAGCCATCACCATGGTCTCCTAGGAAGCTGGCATCGGGACCAGAGGTGGGGATTAAACCCAGGCCCTCCGACACAGAATGTGGCAGCAGAGAATCCAGCCCTGGGCTTAACCCCAGGGCAGCACACAGAACCCAGCATCCTCTACTTCCATGGGTGAAAACAAAATACAGTAAAACAGAAACTTACTTTCAGCTGGGTATTCTGGCCTTTGCTTTATATTTTTATTCTTTTCATTAAGAAGGATGATTTGGAAGCCGGCATTGTGGCATAAGGGATTAAGCTACCATCTGCAACAGTGGCATCCCCTCTGGGCGCTGGTTTGAGTCCCAGCTGTTCCACTTCCAATCCAGCTCTCTACTAACAGCCTCGAAAAAATAGCAGAGCATAGACCAAAAGCTTGGGCCCCTGCCACCCTTGTGGGAGACCCAAATGAAGGTCCTAGGTGAACCAGCAGATGGAAGACTTCTCTCTCATTCTCTTCATCTGTTTCTGTAACTCTACCTTTTATATATGTATGTTATATATCTCTCTATATACAGATAAATACAGAGATGGATATATAGATTTTTTTAAAAAAAGGAAACTTTAATACTGGTTGGACAGAGAAGGCCAAAATGGAGCCTGCTGAGTTCATAAAGCCACAATGGCCCAGCTGTGATGGACCTACATCTGATTGATGTCCTGCTCAGGTCCCCCATGGACTCTAGGACTCAGGATACCAAGCCATGGGGCAGTTGGAGACATAGCCTAGGAGACAGCTGAGAGCTGTATCTCTCTCGATGCCTGCTGATGTCTTCACCAGGTGCAGGTCACAGGCACCACTCAAATCCCTGGGTGCAGAATCCCTAGGGGAGTGGACCACCATCAGCATCTTTAACAGGTACCTGACTTTTATACACAGTTCAGCACAAGAACCTTTGTGTCCTAGCCACATTTCCCTTCCACAGCCTCCGGTCATCCTCTCCATAGCTTGTGGTGTGGGTGCAGGAGGTGAAAAGTAGTGTAGTGTTTGCCTGGGATGTTGTCCTGGGTAAGTGGAAAAGGCAGGGAGAAAGGCCAGGGGGAGGTAGAAACTCCCTGTCGTGCCCCATCACATCCACCCACACAATGGCAGGTGGGCAGAGAGCCCCACCCTGCTGGCCCCGAGTAGGCAGGCAGGCTGGCTGCTGTCCCCATTGTCCTTGACACTTGGCACCTGTCACCTTTCTCTCTCTCCATCTTTCACTGCAGCCCAGCACATAGATTCTAATTCTCTCTGCAGTTATCAGTGTGGGTGCAATAGGTTCTGATCTGGTTGTAAGGAAACCAAGAGCCAAGGGAGGGTCCTGGCCGTGTCCAGGGAGGGCACCGCCCGGGCAAGCAAGGCTTGCGCTCTGGGGAGTCAGTCCAGGGCGGTCTTGTGCTGCTTGGTCCTTTCTGTCCCCATTGCCCTGTCCAGCTCCGTGTGCTAGGTGACCCACCCATCCTGCTCCTCTCCTCTCCCCCACCCCTGCCCTCCCTCCCAGCCCTGCATGCTGTACCCTCACCTGGCTCTGTAGGACCCAGCAACATAGGTTGTGAGCAGACACCTGCTAATTAGGGGATTAAATGCATTGTCTGCATTGTCCGTTGACTTAAATCTTTCAGATAAACACTGCAGGCGAGCCAGGGGGTGGGTCAATGGACTTGGGGTGGGGGGAGGGTGGTTCTTTGTTCTGGAGCTTTTGCCCCCAGCTTCCTAGGCTGCCACCCCCACCCCACCCCAGCTGGCTGCCTTGCTTTCAGGGTTTCAACCCACTCCAGACCCCAAGCTCCTCTCAGAATCTCCCGGGAACACACAGAAAAGTTGCCACCAGGGATGGTGGGAGGAACAAAGCTTGACTCACCTCAGGCACCATGCACCATCCCCATGAACCCCTAAATAAAGCCGTGCCATTCAGGCAGGGCACTCAGCACCATGCATGCCAGAGCCCACCAGGACCATCACACAAGAGGCACTAGTCCCTCTCTGGAATGGAACCTCGGGTCATCAAGGCAGCTGGGCATCCTCTTCACACATCCAAAACCCTAATCCTAACTTCTCCAGGGTCCAGACACACCGGCCCCTTGTCCCAAGCAGGCTTTGCCCCCCGGGAGTGGCACCCTCTACTACCCCCGTTGAAACACAGGATTTCTAACCTGGCTGTCCCAGCACTTTCCTTACCGAGCTCAAGCCACAGATAACAGAAACCCAAGGACCCTTCCTGCACTCACTGACCCCGGGCCATGGCCATGCCCACCTCCCTCCCAACCACCAAGGTGCTGAACCCTGGGCAGTGGGCTCAGGACCTTGGGCAACGACCTTGGGGCTGTGCTGCTGGGGAGCTCCTGGGACCACGAGGGGGCACTCGGGGAGCAGGGAGGCACAGCAAGTGGACCTCCCAACCCATCCTGCAGGCAGGGCACTGCAGAGGCCTCTGGAGCCCAGTTATACCTTGGCAAGAAAGTGACCCCAATGCGATGACATCCTGGGGAAGGGCCCTGCTCCTCCTCACAGATCCTGGGCCTCCAGGCCTCAGGCAGCAGCAGGTCCCCCACTGCCTGGCTGGTCCAACCCCCCCAGAGGGACTGACCCAGGCCAGAGCCAAAGCCTCCCTTGGGCCAGGGCTGTGGATGAGCCTCAGACGTCAGCAGAGAGGGTGCCTGCTAGGGCTGGGTGGAGGCACTGGAACTGACTGCTTCGCCTCCTAAATGTGTGCGTTGGCATCTCCTCGTTACCAGGGCCTTCTTTGTCAGAGGGACAGTTGGTTTCCAGGAGGTTCCTAGCCTGACATTTCTGCGGCTACTCCCCAACTGCAGGTGCCAAGCAGGAGGGCTGGGCCAGGCCGCAGGGGACAGGGTTGGCATGCAGAGCACTGACTGCTGCTGACCCAGGAGTGCCCAACTCCGGGCACAGAAGGGACAGTGTTTGCCTGCGTGGGCACCCCAGGGCTAAGCGCAGCCAACGAGCATTTCCATCAGCATCAGTTAATATTTATCAGCCCCCACAACGGCAGGGAGCCAGCTGCAGCAAGAGACACCATTGTCCCAGTGTGAGGACTTCATAGCCTAGGGAGGTGTTGGACAAACAGGGCGTAGCCTGGCCCGGTCAGTCAGTTCTACAGCCTGGGGAACTTGAGTCTTGAACAGGTGCAGGTACAAACATGAGGCCACCTAGAGCCACTAAGGAGGTGCTGTGACTGCTTGCCCCCAGTCAGAGGAGGTTCTGGAAGCACCCCTGGCCCCACCAGCTGGCACTAGCTGCTTGAGAGCATTCCTTCCATCTGCACTGTGCCTGCCCAGGTCAGCCCTGCCTTGCCCGAGGTCCTGGATGGAGAGGGAGTCGGGGAAGAGGAATCAGGAGGGGAGGGTCTCACGGCTGTACTACGCCTACAGCCCTGCCTTCCTGGCTGAAGCAGGAGGTCCAAGTGGGTACCGCTTCCAGGACCAGGGGCGGGCCCCAGAGGCTGTGCCACTTGCCTCCCATGTACCCATCACGGTCTTGGGCTCTGAGCTGCGGCGCTGGCTCCTGCCTTCGTCTGCGTTATGTGATGCCATGGGCTTCTCGGACCCACCAGCGCATCCCATCATGACCACAAGCACAGGTGCTTAGGAGGTGTCAGCAGCAGCATGACCACAGAGAGGAGGTGAAGGGCCAGGGTTGGGCTTCCAATGACGCTCCCACCTGGGCACCGAGTCTGCCCATGCCCCCCCATCCCCTGCTTCCTTGTTGGTCTGCCTGGTTGGGTGAACATGGCCCGGTGGCACAGCTCGGGTGGCTCCTGACGCATCATACGCCTCCTGCCCCTCCTTTTCTGGGCTGTTTGACGGCATTATAGCCCTTCTCACCACAGGACCTTTGCATACGCTCTTAATAGCCTCTTCTTTAACACACACCTTTCAACTCAAACACCCCTTCCCCAAGCTCCAGGGCTAGGTCAAGGTTAAGCCTCCTTTTTCAGAACCGCAGGCTCCCTGAATTTCCTCACAGCTGTGTGAACTGCAAACTCGCAAACTTGGTTTACCTGTGTGAACTGCTGTGCCCGCTTGCTGGATGCCGCCTTGTGGGCGCTGCCTAGCTCCTCATCACGACACAAGGACCAAGATGTAAGGACATCACCACCCGACACGGACGCCCTGGAGCTGCACTCAGCTCTCCACCCACGTGCTCTCAAGCCAGCAGACATAGTCAGGTAGGAAAATGAAGCCCAGGCCCATCAGGCTACAGAAGCTCTCCGTCCTTCCAGAATAGGGTAGGGGAGCCTCTTGGAGAAGGGTCCTTGGCTTCCTTACTGATCTCACCAGCGGCATAACCAATAGTTCCGCGAGTAACAGGAGGACCTCAAGGCCCTTTGTGCCTGCAGGCCACATGAGCAGACATCTGCCCTGCAGCCTCACCTACCTGCTCATCCACCTTATGGGCAATGAGAGTGGCCCCTTCCTCCAGCTCTGCCACGCTGATGGGCCGGACCCGGAGCGCCACCTGAAAGGGTAGGACAGATCCCTGGGATTAGAAGCCCTGAGCCATGGAAGGGCACAAAGAGAGGGAGGAGAGGGTTTGGGGTCCCCCACCCCCAGGCAAACCCCTGGGTCCTCCTGGATCCTAAGGAAAACTCTGAGTCAAGGCTGCCACCTGGGCAGCAGGTGCATGCGTCTCCCCGGGGGCAGGACTGTCCGCTCCGCAGCTGCATCCGTCACACGCCCGAATTAGACACCTGCGGCTCCCCTGGGCCTGACGGCAGAGCCCACAGGGAAGCAGTGTGTGTGCGTGTGTGCGATGCACAGAAGGCGCAGGGCCTGGCACTCAGCATGGGGCAGGGCTTCCCTTTGTCATCTTACCCATGCCCCCAGCCCCACCCTGAGGACACAGCCACCAAGGGCCCGTCCTAGCCTGTGGGTGGGTCTCCCCAGAGAACAGGGCACGGCGCACAGTGCTGGTGGGAGGGAGTGGCTTCTGCTGAACAAAGGGAAGCACCTGCTAGGTGTTTGGGGCCCTCCCTTCAAGATCCATCTGATCCTTATGAGAGCTTCCTTAACTGAACTCCTCAGGACGAGAGAATGGCCAGCCCCTCAGCGCCACCTGGGATGTGGGGGTCAGGGAGGGAGCAAGGGCTCATCTCCAATGCCAAGACAACCATTTTCAGAGACAGTTTTGAAGCTGCCCGAGAGGGTTTGCTTGGCAGCTGGGGCCCAAGCTTTCCTCGCAGGAGGAGGTGCAGGCGTTGGGGTAACATTATCCTCCAGTTACATCACGAGGCACCTGCCCGCAGCGGAAGCTCAGCCCCAGACTTGGGGAAAGAAAATGGACTGCAGCAGACAGGGAGACACCCACCCAGGTGTATCCATGGCCTTGGGGCTGTCCCCACATTGCTCATAGGCAGAAGCCCATCTTTAGCACCCCACCCATCTCCGTGACCTCAGCTGTCACAGTCCACCTGTAGCCCTTCTCAGAGGATGAGGGTTCTGGTCCACATAGCTCTGTATTGCAGGCCAGAGTGGGGACTTGGGGGCTCCGGTCTCGCTATGGGTGATGCCCAACTCATTTGACCCGCCCCCAAGGCAGGTATCCTCCATGTTCCCAGGTAATGTCTACTTTCCCTCTCTGCCAGGACAGTTCAATCCCACCCTGGCCTGGCTGCTCTGCATGGAGGTGGTTCTGACTCCCCCAGAGGCTGCACAGGCTTTTGAGGATGGCATCCCGGGGCGCTGAACACGTGGGAACCGGGCTAGGGCACCTTCTCGCCTCTACGCTCTGGGCATAGGGAAGGGTGCCCCTGAGCGGCGCCAGACAATGGTCCTTGTGTGTCCACCGAGTGGAGGGGTGCTGGAGGCTGACCGAGGCAGTCGGGTTCTGGGGACGGTGGAGGCGGCAGAGGGGCAAGCAGAGAAGGAGGAAGAGGAGCAGGAGGCTGAAGGGGCCTCACCATGAGCTGCTGGTCCTTGGAGTCCCGGTTGTCCTTCATGCTTGCGGCTGGTGAAGGGACTCAGGCTGTCACTCCGAGCATGGCCGGGCCGCACCCCCAGCGCCCGGGTCTCCGCCGTCAGGGGCTCCTCGCAGCCCCTCCTGCGCCACCGCTGCCTGACAACCCGAAACCAACAACGCTCGGGCGGCCAAGGGCGCTGACCTGGGGGGCGGGGACGCCCCGCCCCTGCGCCCCGCCTTCCCGCTCAGCAGACGGGGTGAGCGCCTCCTCTTGGGGCACCCGGCCCGCGCTTCTGCCCGGCCTGTGCCCGGCTGTTCGGCCCTCGACGCGCCCGTGCGTCCGTCTGGCGCCGCGGCGTCCGTTCGGTAGCCGCTCGGCGCCTACCTGCGTCCTGGGCTCGCGACTGGACCCCGTTCTGCGACCTCCTGGGCGCTCCCCGCCGGCCAGGCAGCTCCTGGGCAGATGAAGCTCCCCTGCGCCGAGGCCACGCGCTCCTGCTGCTTGCGCGTGTGTCCCACGGTCAATCGTCGGCATCCCCTAGGGCCGTAGCGGGCAGCGTTGGGTCTCCATGGGCACTGCGTGCGTCGTGGCGGGACTGCTGTCTGCTGCACCTGCTATCCAATAGCAGGCTTGGTGGATGAAAACTCCTCCCTGGGACCAGGCTGCCTGATGAGCAGCATTTGGAAGCACCTGCACTGGCCGAGCTGTTAGAGACGTGTGCATGGCTCCCAGGCACCTCATTAACAATCCAAGCTGTATTCCTAGCTCAGAAATTAGGTCAAGGTGGGTCACTGTGCCCTCCTGCAGGGAGAACCACTAAACTGCAAGGCAGTCCAGGTCACACAGTTCCCATTCCTCATGCCCTCAAGGACCTCATCCCCAGAGCACAGTGGAAAGATGGTTGGCCTCGGAGGCCTCAGGGTTCTGGTCCCAGCCCGGCCCCGAGCTGTGTGGAGCCAATGTTTCCTGCCTGCTGTGGCCCTCAGTTCTCTGGGAGTTGTGGCAGCCCCCGGGATCCTAACAGCCTCTGGTTTGCTGTCTGTCCCCACTGAGGTCAAGACTGGTAGACCCTGCAAAGAACAGAAGAGGAGGCAGGGTTGTGGGCTCACGCCCCAAGGAAGGAGCTGGGAGGGGAAGCCTGGCACCGCCCCCCAGGGCTGTCCCAGAGGCAGGGCGTGACGCCAGCCCTGTGCTGAGCTGGCCTTCCTGATCTGTGCCCAGGAGCTGGGGCCAAACACAGCTACTGACACAGCACAGGTAGCAGCTTTGCAACCCCGAGAATCATCAATACAGCAACCAGGGGAAGCTCAGGGGCCGCATCCCTCCTGGGAGTTCCCCAGCTTTGTCCTGCCCTCTGCCAGGCTGCCCATGAGGCTGGTTGGTTCATGAGAGGGCCTACTCCAGCAGGAGTGAATTGCTTTATAAACATTTTTTAAGTTTTTTTTTTAATTGGAAAGTGAGATATACAGAGGAGAGGAGAGAGAGGAAGGTCCTCCATCTACTGATTCACTCGCCAAGTGGCTGCAATGGCCAGAGCAGAGCCGATCCGAAGTAGCAGCCAGGAGCTTCTGGGTCTCCCATGTGGGTGCAGGGTCGCAAAGGCTTTGGACCATCCTTGACTGCCTTCCCAGGTCACAAGCAAGGGAGCTAGATGAGAAGGGACCACCAGGATACAAACCAGCACCTATATGGGATTCCAGCATGTGCAAGGCAAGGACTTTAGCCACTAGGCTACCGCGCCAGGCCTAAACAATATGTATTTTTAAGTTTTATTTATTTTTTACTGGAAAGTCAGATATACAGAAAGATCTTCCATCCGCTGATTCACTCCCCAAGCGGCCAAAATGGCCAGAGCTGAGCCAATCCAAAGCCAGGAGCCAGGAGCCTCTTCTGGGTCTCCTATGTAGATGCAGGGACCAAGGCTTTGGGCCATCTTTGACTGCCTTCCCAGGCCACAAGGAGGGAGCTGGATGGGAAGCAGGCTACCGGGATACAAACTAGTGTCCAAGGCAAGGACTTTAGCCACTAGGCTACTGTGCCAGGCCCAAGAGTGATTAAAAAAAAAGTTAATTTAATTGAAAAGCAGAGTTACAGAGAAGGAGAGACAGAGATCTTCCACTTGCTGGTTCACTCTCCAAGTGGTTGTGGCAGCCAGCACTGGACGAAGCTGAAGCCAGAAGCTCCACCCAGGTCTCCCACATGGATGCAGGAGTCCAAACACTTGACCCATTTTCCACTGCTTTCCAGACACATTAGCAGGAAGCTGGATGGGAAGTGGAGCAGTGGGGACTTGAACCTGCATCCACATTGAAAGCTGGTTCTTGCAGGCAGTAGCTGCAACATGGACTCCAGCAAAAGTGAGGCCTGTTTACATGTTGCACCCCTGAACTGAAGCTGGATCAGCCAAGCAGGTGCCTGGCCAACTTGGCCTGGGGTCGTTTCCCTTTCTATTCCTCCGCATACACGAGTCCCATCCACCTCGGCCACAGTGACTGATGGGTAAACAATGAGAAAGGCTTCTAAGTGGGCGGTCCCAGGTCACGTCACCCGCGGACTCGTCACCAAGGGGGTCCCTTTCTCTTCGCTCCATCGGACTTGCACACGTTTGCCAATGCAGTCTCCACGCCCTCTCTACCCACTATCCGCGCTCATCTGCTCATTCCCTGAATCCTCCACATTCAAGTCCTGCAGCTGCTGTCCCTGCAGGTGTCCCGGCCACTGGCTGCCCTGCAGCTTCTTCTCACCTGGACGTGCCGTGCTCCCTGCCAAGCGCTCTGCCTCCAGAAAGGTACGGCTCTGCACGGAAGCATAGGCAGGGACTCCCTCCCCCACAGCCTCCTCATTGATCTCCCGTCTGGCCACATCCAGCATCATTCTGCCGGGCTTTGATGGAGGCGATGAGGCTCGCGGGGTGGGGGCTCACATGGATCCCTCCCCCCCGTGTCACAGAAGGGGCTGCAGGTGACTGGAGCTGGAGACCAAGGAATTGCTGGGTCCATCCACACCTGAAGCCGGAGAAGCCTCAGTTCCCTGAATTTCTTGAGCCAATGAAAATCTCTGCCTTGAGCATTTGAATAGACTGTGAACCATTTAAGCTGAAGAAGGTCTTGTCCTACACGCATGCTCCCTTGAGTCTAGGTCGGTTCCTGCTCTTGTCATGTATGCTTCCTTGACACGCCCCTTGCACACGTGTGCCTCTGCAGGGATGTGTCCCTGCTTAGTTGGGAGGGAAGGCCAGGGAAGGTCAGCTTATTTGCTCTTCCATACAGCTGCCGCATGAGGACGGTGTTAGCCAGAGGGCAAGTCCTGAGCCAGACACAGGCTTGCCCGGAAGCGTTGGTGTTTGCCACAGATGTTAAGATGCCTCTTGGGATCTCCCCACATGTCCCAGCAGAGGGCCAGGGCTTCCATCTCAGCTCCTGCTAAGACACAGCCCAGGAGGCAACAGCTGGTGGCTCAGATATTTGGGTCATTGCCACCTATGTGGGAGAAACAAACTGAATTCCCGGTTTGAGCCTAAGTCATGATGGTGGCAGTGAGCCGGCTGATGCAAGTGCTCTCCTGGTTTTTCTTCCAAATACAAACAAACAAACAAACAAACAAACAAAAACAGAACTGTGGGTCCACTCCCAGTCATGTCAGGTGGCAGGCCTTTGTCCCCTCTTGGGCATCAGTAACAGCTCAGGTCCCTGGACCCGAGGGAGTCCCTTTTCCCTGACAAAGGAAAGGGGGGAGTCCTTCCTTGGAGTCCTAGCCAGCAGCTGTCGCATGGAACAGATGGCAGCTGATGCCGGGGGTTGCGGTTTGGTGGCAAGCTTGCAATGGAGCCAGCTGAGTAGAAAAAGTGACGAAGGGCGTGGCAAGTGGGCATGGACAGAGATGCTGCTGTGCAGCAGCCAACTGCTTCCAGCTGCCACTTCTGCACCTTTCCTTTTTTGTATATAAAAAAAAAGATTTATTTATTTTTATTACAAAGTCAGATATACAGAGAGGAGGAGAGACAGAGAGGAAGATCTTTCATCTGATGATTCGCCCCCCCCCCCCCAAGTAAGCACAATGGCAGGAGCTGTGCAGGGTCCCAAGGCTTTGGGCTGTCCTTGACTGCTTTCCCAGGCCACAAGCAGGGAGCTGGATGGGAAGTGGAGCTGCCGGGATTAGAACCAGCGCCCATATGGGATCCTGGAGTGTTCAAGGTGAAGACGTTAGCCGCTAGGCCACCATGCCAGGCCCCACTTCTGCAACTTTTTAACCTGCTTGCTGTAGGTGCCCACTGCCGCCCCTGCCCCCTGCCTCGCGGCCTGCATTTCCCACTGCGGGTTCCGTGCTCACAGGAAGGTGGCTTTCTCCAGCAGCTGGTGTTTCTGCAGCTGAGACACTGTAATTTTGTTCCACTCCCATTTTGGGAAGGAATGAGCAGCAGGCCTGGGAGAGGCTGCAGAGGACCGATGAGGGTCCTCTCTGTGGCCCCTCAGCCCCCCATGGCCCACGTCCCATCCCTGCCCAGCAGCTGCCCCTGCTCAGAGTGAAGGGGCTGAAGTTCCAGCAGCCAGCCCTGTTTTCCTTTGGGTTTCAACTTTTTCGTATTTTGAGGGTGACCCCCCCGCCTTGTTGCAAGGTCAGCATTCTAGTGCAGCTGAAGATATCCTCCAGGGGTCGGTGCTGTGGTGCACATAAAACCACCATAAACCACATAAAACTGTGATGCTGGCTCCAACATCGGCGCTGGTTCTAGATCTGGCTGCTTCACTTTCAATCCAGCTCCCTGCTAACGCACCCAGAGAAAGCAGTAGAAGATGGTCCAAGTGCTTGGGGCCCTGTACACATGTAGGAGACCCAGATGAATCCTTAAGCTCCTGGCTTCAGCTTGACACAGCCCCACCTGAAGCAGCCATCTGGAGTCATGAACCAGCAGATGGAAGGTTTCTTCCTCTCAGAATATTCTAGCACCCCAGAGCTCAGCATGCCCGGCACAGACAAGCACAGCATGGAGTTTGGGCTTAGGGGACCTTTCGTCTAGGTGGATTTTGTTTCAGGAGTGGCAGCATCTGCCGTGACCCGATTAGCTCAGCAGACAGGTCCCATTCTGAGTGCTTGGGCCCACCCCCAGTGGTTGCCACCAATCCAAACATTCCTGGATTCTGTTCCTCCAGCAGAGCATCCCTGCTTCCAGAAGGGCATCCCCAGGGCAGCTCCGGGCACCCAGCTGGCTGAGCCCACTCCTCCTCTGCTGTGGGCCTGGGAGTGCACTGAGCATGGCGCACCTGTCACCAGCACCTGGGCTGCACCTGCGCATGTGCAAGGTGGGATCGAAAGTGGTGATGTCACCCCTATGGCTCAGCACTCAAAGCTTGTGGCTCCAGTTCCTGTGCGGCTCACAAACCAGCCAAGTCAGCAACTCCACTTCGATTTTCTTAACCCTAGGGGCTGACCCTGGGTCCTCCCTCCACAAAATCCTTATCCCAAGCATTTTAAAGGGTACCTGGGAGCTCCAGCAAGCTCAGCATACACCATGTCCATGACACCTGTGCCCAGCTAGCCCTGTGTGGCCAGTGTCACTGGTAGAGGGACAATGGTGCTGTGGAGCTGAGCTGCTGTCTCAGGGTACCCCTAGAGCAGCCCACTGCTCCCCCCACAGCCCCTGCAGGTCCCCACAGGAGCCTGCCTGCAGTAGGCTGTCATTCAGAGCCATTCCGGACTGGGGTGAGCTGCCCCTTATCGTGTGACTTGGGCAGCTCCCTGCACTGCAGCACCGCTGCCAGGACCTCCTCTTCCTCGAGTGCAGAATGAGTGAAGGACAAGCCTCCCTGGGACTTTGGGAAAGAACTGCTGTAATGGGGCCAGAATTGGGGCACAGCTGGTTGAACCACTCCCTGAAGTGTCGGCATCCCACATGAGCGCTAACTCAAGTCCTGGATGTTCCACTTCTGACTCAGCTCCCTTTAATGTGCCTGGAAAAATGGAAAATGGGCCAAGTGTGTGGGCCCTGCCACCCACCTGGGAGACTAGTTGGAGTTCCTGCTTCCTGGCTTTGGCCTGCTCCAGCCCCAGCTGCTGCCCGCTGTTGGAGGCAGGAAGCAACAGACAGAAGATCTCTCTCTCTTGCTCGCTCCACAACTCTGCCTTTCACATCAATATTTAGAAAGAAAGAGAGAGGGAGAGAGAAAGAAAGAAAGAAAGAAAGAAGGAAGGAAAGAAAGAGAATTAACAAGCCCATATGCTCACACAGAATGCACAAGAAGCAGCAATTGTGGCCACTATTATTATTAATCTTACAACAGTCACAACCACAGAAAGCAGGCCAAGGGCACAGGGATAATCCAGGTCGGCTCCAGCACCTGCTCTCCTCCCCACCCACCCCGCCACACACACATACACACACACACACACACACACTCAGAGGCCTCTGCTACAGCTGTGTGTGAGCACAGTCTGGGGAACTTGCTGAGAAAGGGGCCAGATGTCTCTCCTGGTATGCAGGTGGCTGAGAAGGGTCGACACGTTAGATGGAGAAACGGGCTTTGCCTCCTGCCACTCTTCCCAGGGCAGGGGCAGGCCCAGCGGAGGCTTGTGGAGGCAGGAGACGGCTGGGGCGAAGGGCTGGGTCTGAAGGCTATGTGGACCCTGAGGTGGGCACAGCCTTAGGGGTGCTCAGAGACAGTGGACAGCCCTTGCAGGGACAAGCCTTGCCCCTTCGCTCCCACCTGGCCTTGGCTCCCCTGAGCCACTCTGTAGGAGTGGCGTGCTGAGCCTGCTCCCTCCCCACCTTCATGCCTCCCTCTGGGGGAAGCTCAGCTCCTACACCTCCAGCCAGGGTTGCACCACCAGACAGGGAAGGAAGGAACGGTGGGAACAGCACTCCAAGCAGGGGCCGACCTCCTAGGCGTCCGTCTGCTCCTCTTCCTCCCCTTCTTCCTCTTCCATGCCGTCTCCCACAAGGTACTCCTCGGACTCCAGTTTGGGTACTTGCTCTTGCTGTGGACAGACAGCAGAAATGTCAGTGAGAGTCAGGCCTTGGCCAGCCAAAACATCTGACTGCTGAGGGCCCTGGAGTGTGTGGGGCCAGTGTGGCCTGGAGGATGCATGGAGCCAGCAGGTGCAAAGGGTGGGCAGGGTCTTACAGACCGGGGAACCCCTGAGGTTCCATGTCTTCCCTGTGATTGTTCTGAGCATTTCGGGATGACAGTACCAGGCAGGCGCCTGGCAGCCGCACTATCCACTGGTGTACATGGAGAGTGGACAACATGAGGCTCTGTACCAGTGATGCCTCACCCCTACCTTAGGAGGCAGGGCAGAGGAGGGAGGAAGTCACAGGTGGAACCGGTCATGGCCTCCAGGTGCTTGGCTGACCTCTCCCCCTTGGCTCCTTATCTGTGCCCCACTAAAGGCCATGACCCAGAGGACAAGGTCAACCTCCTCATTTTCCATTTGCAAACTAGGGTACCAACAAAGGGAGTGCCCAGACCCAGCCCAGTCATGCAACAGAAGTGTTTTCCAGAGCTGGGACCATCAAGTGATGAGCCATTCACAAGCCACACTCGGGCAGCCACTCCTAGGCAAGGTAACCCTCAGAGCCACATGCATATGGCACATGGCACACCCGTTTCGCCCACAGGCCTCAGACCTCACTCTCCCCTGGCAGCTCCTTAAGCCCAGGAGCTCACTGGTTGGGTCACCAGTGCATCTGCAAAATGCACCTGCCAGGGTGGGTGGGGACAGGGGATGCTTCAAGTTCATGTGGATAGTCAGGTGCAGCCAGGAAGGCTACTTCTTTTGGGGTCACCCCAGAGGTCAGCCAGCAGGCAGAAGCTGGGCACCCTGGCTCCCACCCGGTCCTAAGCCCACCCCCATGCCCCTGCCGAAGTCCCTACAATTTTGGACTTTTTCTGCATGGCCTCAGCCTCCTTCTTCTTCATCTCAGCGTGGATGATTTCGAAGAACTCCTCCTCAGCCTTGGAGACCAGCTGGTCCAGGTCGACGGCCAGCTCATCGTAATTCTGCTCTTCGTCCTTGCCCTCTGCCTTGCCCTTCTCCTTCAGCCGCATCTCTCGGTGCCGAGCCTCCAGGATCTTCTCCCGCCGGGTCTCACGCTCAAATATCTGGGGCACACAGGGGCAGGGAGGTTGGTGGAGGGGGGCAGGACAGATGGCAACTCCAGCTCTGAGACCAAGCTGCCTTCCACTGCATTGTGCTTGCTCTACTCCCAGCAGTGTCCACTGGGTTAGGGCCAAGCAAAGAGGTCTGAGGGGTTGGCATCATGGCACAGCGGGGTTAAGCTGCCATCTATAACTCAAGCATCCCATATGGGTGCCAGTTTGATGCCCAGCTGTCCACTTCTGATCCAGCTTCCTGCTAAGACACCTGCAAGGGGTGTACAGAGTGGCCAACGTGCTTGGGCCCCTGCCACTGACATGGGGGACCCAGACGGAGATCCAGGATTCTGGCTTCAGCCTGATCTAGCCCTGCTCTGCCTTTTAAATATGTCAAATAAACATGTGTTGAAAGACTCTCATGCGTGGATTTCACAAATCCCTGGCACCAAAATGTTTTAAAATTCCATTTTCCATGAAGTTTTTTAACTGCCCACTGAAATCTCAGATCCCTCCCCTGGGGCAATCCCTTTCCACTTATCATTTCATTGGCATCACTATTTTTTTAAAAGATGTTTTATCTATTTGAAAAGCAGAACAGAGAGTCAGGCAGCGATCTTCCATCCCTGGCTCAGTCCCACAACAGTCAGTGTTGGGGCAGGCTCGGGAACCTGGAACTCCAGCCTGGTCTCCCACAGGCATGTCAGGGTGCCCAGGTTGCTTGGGACCATCGCCTGTTGCCTTCCCAGATACATAAGCAGCAAGGAACTGAGCTGAAAATGGAAGCAGCCAGGTCCCAGAGTGGCAGGCAATAGCTTAACCTGCAGTACCACCATGCCATGTCTTCTCTTGGCATTCCACTAAACCCCAGCTGACAGTTCTCATACCAGAAAGTGGATGGTCGGGAAGCAAACAAACAGCAAGACAAACCACTTTAAACCAAAGCCCAAGGGCTCCTGAACTATGCAGAGGTTCAGCGTGGGCAGGTGCACACACTAATGTCCATCCACTGAGCCGCCCTGGACACTATGCTGCCCGCTCGGTGGAGGACGGGAGGGAAGGGGCTCGGAGATTTCTTGGGTTCCTCTGCCTGGCACACGTCCCTCCCTCCCTCCCCGCCCCGGGCACCCGGCTCTCACGGAAGAGGCAATGTTCTTCTCATTCCTCTGCAGGGTGGAGAGTCCGCTAGACACCTCCAGCAGTGTGGTGGTCCCCAGCTGGGAGCCGCAGGCCACGAGGCCCCCCGAATCTTGCACCCGGAGGCAGAAGAGGGCTTCGTCGCACACCTGTCCGAGGGGTCGGGAGGCAAGAGCTGTGGGTTTTGCCCTTCGGCCAGGTTCCCACACACCCCACGGGATGCTGCCTCCATCCCTGGCTCCCACTGACTCCTGAAGACTGCTGGCTCCCCTGACAAGAGTTCAGGCTCGAAGGGGCAACTCCTGAAACTCCCCAGGGATCCTGCAGGGATTTGCTGGGGGAGCCCAAGTCAGGCACTTGTCCCCTCTTTTCTCTTTTAAGCAACCGGCCCCAGCAGACCCTGCCTAGCCACATGTGCCCTCATGTTCCTGAAGCGACAGCTGCAGGTGGCAGGCATGGGCATTGCCTGGAGGGCTCCTGACCCAAGGCCACACCTGAGTACCGCACCCAGCACCCACACCCGCCACAGGCCTGCAGCTCGATGAGGGTCCGGATAGACTGGGGCGGGGGCGGGGGCAGCGTGTGCATGTAACCTTCAGGCTGAGGGCCGGGTCGCACTGCTTAAACACAAAGTCCCAGATGTCCAGGGTCCCGTCCATCTTGGTGGTAAAGAAAACCGCCGGCCGCGTGGGGCTCCAGGCGCCATCCGTGAGATAGGCCATATGGTACCTGGAAAGGGCCAGGGGTCCACAGGTCAGAGGCCACTGTGCTTGGGGTGGGGGTGGGACAGAGAGGCTGCTGAACCTCCTGGGCTCCTGGGTGTCAGGGTATTGCTGGGCAGGAAGTTCTTCTGTGTGTCTGATTTCTAGCTGGGCTCAGCTCAGCCACCTACTCAAAGATGGCTCTTAAAAAAGGAGGAGGGAGAGGAGGACAAGAGAAAGGAGAGGAAGAGAATTACTTTGAAAGGGAGAGTTACCGAGGGGAAGAGGCAGAGGTCTTCTGGTTGCTGGTTCACCCCTAAAATGACCAAAATGGCTGCATGGCAGGGCCAGGCTGAAGCCAGCAGCCCAGCAGCAACATCCAGGTCTCCCATACGATGGGCAAGGGCCCAAGGACTTTGGTCGAAGCCACTGTGCCACAAGCCAGCCCCAGGAGCCCAGGTACTTCAATTGGGTCTCCCAGATAAGTGGAGGGGCTCAAGCACTTGAGCCATCTTCCATTGCTCTCCCAGATGCCTTAGCGGGAGCTGGATCAGAAGTAGAACAGCTAGGACTTGAACTGGTGTCCATATGGTATGCTGGCACTGCCGGTGGCGGCTTTGTCCACTATACCACAATGCCTGCCTCCCTTCCCACCACGGGCTGTGCTTTGAAGGGCTCTCAGCATGGTCCGTCCTGTGGGCTGACCCTGGTATTTCTCCACAGTGAATACCGAGCAGCAGGTGAACATCGCTGGTCAGAACCTGGCCAGAGGAGGGAAGTCGTGGGCAGCTCCCTGATAAGGGGAGAGGGAGCTGGGGTCATGGTGGCCACCTCAGTGACTACATTCCCCAGCCTCCTTTGTAACTACATGAATCACGGTGGGCGAAACGGCCATGACAAAACAAGCTATGTGGAGATCTTCCACACGTAACAGGCACTTTGAGACTGTCCTAAATATCACATGGGACATATTTTTTTTAATTGTGCAGTTGGAGGGGAGTACTGTGGCATGCAGTGTAGGCAGTTGCTTGCTGAGCCAGCATGCCATAGCAGTGCTGATTTGAGTTCTGGCTGCTCCATTTCCCATCCAGATCCTTGCTAAAATAGCTGAGAAATCAGCGGAAGATGGCCCAAGCGCTCGGGTCCCTGTGCCCATGAGGGAGACATGGAAGAAGCTTCTGGCTCCTGGCTTCGCCTGGTTCGGCCGCAGCCATGACAGCCACTTGGGAAGTGACAGTCAACCAAGAGATGGAAGATACCTCTCCTCTCTCTCTCTAAATTTGCTTTTCAGATAAAATGAACAAATGCTTAAAAATAAATTTAAACTATTTCTTCCTGAAAATGTTAGCTTCTATGTATTGTTTTATTTTCATTTCATTGGGAAGACAGAGACAAGAGACAGGTCTCCCAGGCAATGCTGCAGTCCCCAAGTGCCTGCCCAGCTGAGGCCAGGGGCCTGGCACAACTCCCGGCCTCCTGCAGGGACCGGGTACTTGAGCCCTGACCTGCTGCCTGCCAGAGGCACCTGAGCAGGAAGCAGAGCCCAGAGCAGAGCCGGGCATTCCGTTACAGGATGTGCAGTCCATGCAGGGCCGTAGTGCATGCCGCATGCCCACCCTGAGGTTCTCACTGAGCTGGCCTATGTTCTTGTTATTAAGTCTGTTTCCTCCTGATACAGCAGAAGAGTGCAGGAGACAGGAGGGCTTTAGGGTGAGGGCTCTGTTCAGTCCCGGCCCTGCCCCCAACCCTCTGAGAGGGGCAGGATCCCAGGATACCCGAGAAGGTCTGGGATGTGCAGTGTTGGGCACAGTGGCTGAAACCCCTATGCCAACGCCCACCTCCCGTCTAGATTCCTGTCTTCACCCTACTGCCAATCCCAGTTGCCTGGAAAGGCTCACTCTGGCAGGAAGCAGGTTCTGGCCCGAGTGCCTGGGCCCTGCCACCCACATGGGAGACCCAGATGGAGCATCTAGCTCTGGGCTGCAGCCTGGTCCCTAGCTCTGACGGATGCAGACGTTTGGGGAGTGAACAGCTGATGGAAGACCTCTACCCTCCCCTACTCAGCACTCTGCCGCTCAAATAAATAATAAATAATAAGTAAGTTTTGGAAAAGGCTTTTCTCCAGAGACTTGAAGGCAGCCAGGGATGGGAATCAAACTTTCACCCATGGACAAAGCCCTTCTCCTGCAAGCTTGGGCCTCTCCTCCCCGTTGTAGATGGACACGCCAAGGCTCTGGGCGGGGGTCCCCCTCCAGCCCCCCTCTGCTGCCCCAGGCTCCCGTCTCACTTGGTCCACATGATGGACGACTCCCGGCTGTCCTCTGACCAGATGCGCGCTGTCCAGTCACCTACGGTGAGGAAGTTCTTGGGGTAGAAAGGGTTCCTCTGCAGGGCGTAGATGGGGCCATGATGGCCCCCGTAGGTGCACACAATCTTCTCAGCTGTGGTCTTGGCCTTGCGGTTACAGGAGATGACGATGCCCTGTTCGGTGCCCACCATGAACTTGGTTGGCTGTGGAGGGGTTGGGTGTGGGGTTGGAGTGGAAGGCACCATGAGGCATCTGCTCAAGGCTTGGCATGGGGCCAGCAGCCTGCCCTGAGGGCCAGCAGGCGCAGGAAGGACTCTGAGTCAAACCGCTACACAGTCTGTGGCCCAGCTCTTCTGGGGAGCTGTCCCCATTCTCCCGTGGCCTCCTCAGATCCACCACCACACTTTTGGGGGATCTGAAGAAGGACTCAGGTTTGGTGACATCATCCGCTGGCCCCTTAATATTTGCCCCTGACAGAGCCATCACTGGGTTACAGATAGAGTGAGCCAGGCCCACAGAGGGATGCTGTGAGGTTCAAGTTGCTGGAAAGGCAGCTAGAGCCTCGTCTGGCATGACAGTGGCCATAGCAATGTCTGGGTCAGGTATCCCTGGGGAATCTGCCCTATAATTTGTCCCCCTTCTGCCACAAGTCTGGGGGTCCCCTCAAGGGTACCCATCTTGTCTTACTTGGCTCAGTGGCCACAACCTGGCCCCCTGGCAGGTGCCATGTGTCCTTGTGCATTGCGTGGACAAAGGCCAGAATCCTGACTCCTGACCCAGTGCTCCCCAATGGCTCCATGCACCACCATGCTCTCCACATCCCCCACTCTTCATCTCCAGCCCACCCTGGAGCCCCCCATGGAACGTAACCCTAGGGCACAGCAGCCGTCTGTGCCATGTCCACACTGCCCCAGGTGGAGCAAACAGGTGAGATGAACAGGAAATGGACACATCCGGTGGGAAAGGCCTTTGCACAAAATGTGCCTTGTGGGTGATCCACCTGGGTTCTTAATCTAAACAAATCATGGGCACAGTGTGTGGCACAGCACATGAAACTGCCAACCATGACACTGGCATCCCATATGGACACCAGTTCAACTCCCATATGTTCCGCTTCTGATTTGGCTCCTTGCCAACATGACTGGGACAGCAGCAGAGGATGAGCCAAGTGCTGGGGTCCCTGTATCCCTCTGGGAGACCCAGAAGAAGCTCCTGGCTCCTGGCTTTAGCCTGGCACCTGCAGCCCTATGGAGAGTGAATCAACCAGCAGAATAGCTCTCTCCATCTCTGACATTTTTTTCAAATAAATAAACAAATCTTAATTTAAAAAACAATTTTGCTATACAGTTTCCTTTTACCAAAAAAACTCCTAAAGACACAACCACAAAACCTCTAGAAGTCACTGAGGCCTGCTCTTCCTGCCCAAACTGGGGCCAACCCCTATATGTCCACTTATTTAAAAAGAGGGAGGGAGGTATAGCTTTCATTCAACCACCAGGGGGAGCTGGAGGGACCTGGACATCCCACTGAGGAGGCCAGGAAGCCAAGAACCCATACATAGATGGGTACTCAAAGCCCGGCATAGCCTCCTGAACAGCACAACATGCCCTTTGGTACGTGCCAGAACCCGCCACCCTGTCCCCGTGCTGTGGCACACAGGTTAAGCCATTCCTTGAGATGTCAGCATCCCATTCAGTCACTGGTTCAAGTCTCAGCCCCTCTACTTCCCCAGCCAGCTGTCTGCTAATGGCCTGGGAGAGCAGTGGACGATGGCTCAAGACCTTGGGCCCCAGCATCCACGTGGGAGACTCAGATGGAGTTCCGGGCTCCTGGCCCACCCTCACCTGGAGTTTTGCCCACTGCAGCTGCTGTTAGCCACAGTCCTCAGGGGGCCTGGAACATTCAGTAGAAATCTAAAGAACCATGCAATCCCTTTGTGATCAGACATGCACTGCTCCACGTGGTGTAATGGAACCCCTTCCTCTGCATCCACACTACGTGCCCGCCTGCCTGCTGTTGCTGGGGAACCGCCTTGGATAACAGGATGGCCTTGGGGAATCCCCAGACTTATGTTCCAGTGATGTGCATCTCATGCGCGCCCCGTCCCGCTGATCACCCTTCATCACGTGGGCACCGCGTGGTCTCCTATCAGCATCACAGGATGGGAGAAGCCGGTCGCGGCAATCACACCCACGGAGCTTTACGACCACAGCTGTTCGGTTTAATTACACCCTTGGCTGTTTGTCCCTCCCTGGGGCTCACTGACAAATCGCCGTTAGCCCAGCAGTGTGTGCATTCAGGAGACCAATGTGTGGTGCTCAATGCTCTCCGTGGTTGCTTCAGGCACACCTGCGCGTGGGGGAGAGGTCCTGGAGTGTGCATACCGGGACTGGGGGACACTGCTGTGTATTTTACTGATTTATTTGCCATCTGCCCCCCACACGAGAGGACACAGACCTGGGTCCACTTTGGTCTCTTATGTCCTCCCAGGACCATGGTGCCCGCTGCAAAGTAGGGGTTTGGGAGACCCTGGTGAGTGATTTGTGAATCTAGAAAAGCCCCCAGCCCAATCCCCCAAAAACCTCCCCTTCTACACACACACTGAACCCATTCCCCTCTGGTAGGGAACAGTGAGGCCTTAATGTCCCCCTACCCTCCACTGCCCAGACTCCTAGGCCAGGGCTGGGGTCAGCTAAGTTACCGCCCACCTCACCCCACCAGCGTTCATGCCCCACCAGGCAGGCGGGAGGCCATGGTTCCCTGCCCCAATGTTCCCAGGATATGACAAACTGATCCCTACTCAGGGAGCCAGGCCTCAGGGGGACACAAGCCAAGCACAGCCCAGACCCAGACACACCTGCTTCCTTGTTATAGAGGAGGCTTCTTTGGCTGCTTCTAGAAGCTTCCCTCCTAGGACACATTTGGATCACTGCCTAACTTGATTCTTCCTTGTTCCTTCTCAGATACTGAACACCTTAAAGGTGTGAGTCCTTCTCTGACCTCAGCTCCCTGCCCAGCCAGCAGCATCCCCAGGGGAAGGGAAGGGACCCTAGCCCTTCCCAGGGGCCAGGCCGTGGCTGGCAGCCAGGCCTGTGTTGTACCTGAGCAGGGCTCCACCTCCCACCCCGTTCCACACTCCACGTGTGCCTGCTGTTCAGCCTGCCCACTGCCCAAGTGGACACTTGGGATGAGAAGTGCCGCCTTCGTTAAGGAGCCCTGCTGCTCCCTGCTGGACGGTGGTTGTAACGACCACTGTAGATGGATGCTGGCTGGCTGGCTGGCTGGGTCGTGGAAGTCAGGGGAGGGACAGCCAGGGATACTCACCAAAGTAGACTCGAACTCCAGGGAGATGGCCCCCAGGGCGTTCTCCAGCTGCTCCTTCCTGCTGATGTCCATGATCACCACCTCGGTGGGCTCGCTGATCTTGCGGATGTCCCACCACATGACCTGGGGAGCAGGGAGAGGCGGCCACTAGGGGACTTCCTGGCCCTGCCCCCGGCCCAACTTCCTGTGGGTCACACAGAGGGGGATAAGAACTGTGGCCAAGTGGGTTAAACTGCTGCTTGCAACACTGGCATCCTTATCCAGTGCTTGGCTGCTCTGCTAAGGGGAGAAGGCAGCAGAAGATGGAGTCCCTGGGTCCTGGCTTTGGCTGGGCCCAACCCGCATGAATGAGCCAGCAGATACAAGATTGCTTCTCCTTCCTTTCCTGTTCTGCTGTTCTGCCATTCAAACAACTAAAACTACTGAAAAATGTACATGTGCATTGGTCCAGCCATCCCATCACCGGGAATGCAAGCTGTGGATGCACCTGCCGATGTGAGCGGTTATCCAGGCGCGTTCTCCCGGTTATACCCTTTTAGGTAACAACAGAATATTAAAAGCCACTTAAAGAAATCACAGCCCACCCACACCACACTGGCCTTCATAGGCAGGGGGCAGCGCGCCCTGAAGTACCATACCAACTCCAGCAGGTGCTAAAGCGATGCAAGGAGCCCTGTGTGATGGTTCAATAGCTAAATCCTCGCCTTGCACACCCCAGCCGGTTTGTGTTCCGGCTGCTCCACTTCTCATCCAGATCCCTGCCTGTGGCCTGGGAAAGCAATTGAGGACGGCCCAAAGCCTTGGGACCCTGCATCTGCATGGGAGACCTGGAAGAAGTTCCTGGCTCCTGGTTTCGGATCAGCTGGACTCTGGCCATTACGGCCACTTGGGGAGTGAACCAATGAATGAAAGATCTTTGTCTCTGCTTCTCTCTAGATATCTGGTCTGCCTTTCCAATAAAGACAATACATAAATCCTTTTTTAAAAGGGAGGAACAACAAAGAGGGACAACCCCTGCTTAGAGATGCACACCGATCTCAAAGGGCAGGCAGACAGCGGACACCCCCAGGAGGGCTGGGAAGCTGGAGACAGACAGGCACTGGGGGCCTGATGTTGTGGCACGTTAAACTACCACTGCAATGCCAGCATCCCACATGCATGTCCCAGCTGCTGCATTTCCAATCCAGCTCCCTGCTAATGTGGTCTCCCTTTCCATCTCTCCTGGGATTTGGCACAGGTGCCTGTATCTCTCAGCAGCCAATTCAACTAGAAGCATGAAAGGCCATAAACCCTGGGTGACTCTGTTGGGCCCAGGGAGCAGTGGCTGTGCCCACCCCGGGGCCGGCCAGGTGGTACCTGCCCGTCCGTGGACGCTGAGAAGCACTCCGTTCCTGTCTTTGACTGCAGCCAGATGGTGCCGTACACGGGGTCTCGGTGGCTGAACTCAATGGTGGACAGCTCGGCCACCAGACTACCCTTCCGGGTGTCCCAGCAGGCTGGTGAGAGAAGCAGATGAGGAAGGAGTGAGCTGGGACACACGTGGTAAGCTCCTGGGGCAGGGCGAGGGACGCTGCTTTGCCAATGTGGGGCAGGTGCGTGGCTCTTTGGAGCCAGGGCAAGGTGCACACTGAGAGCCCGTCCGCCCCCACCAAGCCTCCGGAGAGACTCCCAGAGTGCCAGTTGCAGACTATCCCGCAGCCCAGGTGTTGCATGCCTTACTCTGGGGTGATGCTGAAAACAGAGCTGGGGAGGTGGGCCGGGGAGCCCACAGGGGCAGCCAGCAGGGGAATGTGTAGGGGTGGGAGGAAGTGCATTTTGTTTTTTCTTCTTAAAGATTTATTTATTAATGAATTTATTATTGGAAAGTCAAATACACAGAGAGGAGGAGAGACAGACAGGAAGATCTTCCATCTGCTGATTCACTCCCCAAGTGGCTGCAATGGCTAAAGCCGAGCTGATCCCAAACCAGGAGCCTGGAGCTTCCTCCAGGTCTCCCACACAGCTGCAGGGTCCCAACGTTTTGACCATCCTCAACTGTGTTCCCAGGCCACAAGCAGGGAGCTGGATGGGAAACAGGGCTACCAAGACATGGACTGGCGTCTATATGGAATCCCGACATGTGCAAAGGGAGGATTTTAGCCAGTAGGCTACTGCGCTGAACCCAGAAGTGCATTTTCTTAGCAAACTTGTCCCACTGGAGCAAAGCAGTGTGTGTGGGTTGGCTCCCACGGTGTCTGGGTAGCCCCCTACAGGGGCCCTTCTTGCAACTGCTCCTGGAGGTCTGGCTGCGAGGCCACTGGTGGTGCAGTGAATGCAAAGTGAGGGCGGGCTTTCGAAGCAGTGATGGCCCCTGTTCCGGTTGACCACAGCGCCGGGTCATTGCCTGGGGAGGCCCATGGGAGCCCCTCACTGGCTGCCCAGAGGTTCTGAGAAACATCTTAGTCCTTCCGGCTCAGCACACGCAGAGAGGAGAGCCACTAATCCCTGTGTACCCTGGCCTTGGGGACATACCATGTCCACAGCCAACGTGGGCAGGCTTCTTCTGATCTCAACAGGATTCTTTTTTAAAGTCTTGTTTGTATTTGAAAGGAGGGTTAGAGAGAGAGGAGAGACAGAAGGAGTTTCTCTATCTGCTGGTTCACTCCCCAAATGGCTGCAAGGACCAGTACTGGGCCAGGTTGAAGCCAGGAGCCAGGAGCTTCCTCCGGGTCTCCCACATGGGTGCAGCAGCCCCAGAACGCAGGCCAACTGCTGCTGGTTTTCAAGATGCAGAAGTGGAGCAACCAGGACTCGAACCTACACTCACATGGGAAGCTGGTGACAAAGGCACAAATTCCTGCCATGTCTCACTGGTTATTTTTTAAAAGAAAATGTCTGCTACCAGCAACACGGAATCCCAGGCTCACAGCACCCGAGAGCATCTGGAGGCAGACGGCTGGGGGCAGGTGCTTGGTGCTCCAGTTCAGGCCTTGGGGACACTCACATGCCATCTCAGGGCGTGGGGTCCAAGTCCCAGCTCTGCCTCTCCCCACAATTTCCTGCTGGCATGCACCCCAGAAGGCAGCAGTGACCAGGGGTCCCTGGCACTCATGTGTGAGATCCAGACCGAATTCCAGGCTCCTGGAGTTAGTCCCCATCTCTTGTGGACAATTTGACAGTGAACTTGTAAATGGTAAATCTCTCTCTGTGTGTCATTTCCTTTCAAATCAATCAACTGCCAAAGCTACGAAATCAAAACCATCCTAACAACTCCCGGAGCAGCCCATGAGAAAATCTGGCTGGGTTGGGAAACTTTCTGGAGAGACAGACATCACCCAAACAGATCCCAGAGGAACACGGGGCTGGGGAGGGACATGACACAGGCGACAGCTGACATGTGTCACTCCCACACAGCCCCGGACCGGGGGAGCTTCCTGGGTGAATCGGTCTGGATGTATGCCCGATGCATGCCCCACAGGTCATGTAAAACACAGCAGGAGCGGAGCCTTCACCACTCATCCTCCAGTGTCATGGTCCCCATCCCCAGCACCACGTGGTTGTCCCCAGCACTTCCCAGGATCCGTGGGTAGGGAGAGCGTCCCTCTCTTCATCCCTGATGGCTGGTTGGGGGAGCCTGGCCTTGACCATGGCTGCTATTTAAAAACCCTCACCACACACTCATTTTAGACTTCCTTAAAGGATTACCACTGCAGGCACCGCTGGTGCCCTCGGCCAGGCCTGACTCACAGCGTCTGCAGGGGAGGGGTCGGCAGCATCCAGTCCCCGCCCCACTGGGTGCCCCACAGCCGGGCTGGCCTGCAGGAGACGCCCCTCCTCACCTATCTGCCCGTTGTAGCAGCCGCCGATGAGCACATGGGAATCTTTGGGATTGTACTCCAAGGTGACCAACGGGGAAGACGGCTTCAGCGTGATTTCTGGCTTGTTGGGGTTTTCTATAAAACAGGGGGGAAAAATCACCACAAGGACACAACAGCAGGTCCCTTGTGGGCGTGGGGGCTGTGCTTGCGGTGTCACCCCGGGTGCTCTGGACTTCTGCACTTCCTCACCCAGGTCCCAGATGTAAGACTCGTGGCTCATGCCAAAAGGGGCACGCTGGAAATTCAGACAGGAGTAGGCCACCGCCAACTTCCTGTTGCCGTCGGGGTGCCAGGAGAGGTGCGTGGCCGTCCGCTTGATCTCCTGGGGGTCCCTTTGGGGGGCAGCAAAGAGAAGGGAGTCCAGGAGGAAGATCACAGTGGACGCTCCCCCCACATCTTATTGATATATTTTTAATTGCCCATGGCCTGACATGACACCCAGTGGCTAAATCCCCATGTAGTGTGTGCCGGGGTCCACGTGGGAAAGCAGCAGCGGGTGGCTTACGCGTTTGGGCCGCTGTACCCACATGGGGGACCTGGAAAAGACTCCTGGCTCCCAACTTCAGACTAGCTCAGCTCTGGCCATTGTACCCATATGGGAAATGAGGATGGAAGAGCTCTCTCTCTCCCTACTTCACTCTCGGTAAGTCTGCCTTTTCAATACAAATAAATAAAGCTTTCTTAAAAAGGAAAGTTTTCAAAGCCAAAGAAATCAGCTTGGGACGTGGTGGTGTAAATTTCTGAATGAGTTGAGGAGCCAGACAGGAGCCGCAGCAGCTGGGGAGCCGTGTGAGGACAGGGAGGGAGCACCTGCTACTGAGCGAAGGAAGCCACTCGGCATGGACCACTGACCGGATGCATCCAACCCCAGGACATCGCCCCAGAGGCAAGCCCAGGGTGCAGGAAGAAGGTGAACGGGCACCAGGGAGAGAGCAGGGAGAGGACAAGCCAGGGGCATCGCTAACGCAGTGAAGGCTGGTCAGCGGGGCTGGGGGAGAGGACGCACATGTCAGCCACACACCTGCCCAGCTACAGGGCTACCTGAAAACATTGATGGTCTTGGCCGACGGGGCCTCCTCGGTCACCTCCACGGCTTCATGATCGTCAAAATATTCCTGGTAGATATCAATGGCGTTGTTCTGTTTGATACAGTGTTCCATGATCTGGGGGACACACGGCAGAGGAGGGGTCCTTAGCAGGAGGGGGAGGTCCATGCTGACACGCCAGGCTGAGATGGAGGTGGCAGGGGGTATAATGATGTCCAGGGGTCTTTCCATCCAGTTTTGTTTTCTTTCTAAAGATTTATTTATTTCCATGGGAAAGGCAGATTCACAGAGAGAAAGAGAGAAAGACCGGTTCACTCCCCAAGTGACCACAATGGTTGCGGCTGAGCCAATCTGAAGTCAGGAGTCAGAAGTCTCATCCAGGTATCCCACATGGGTGCAGGGTCTTAAGGCCCTGGGTCATCCCCCATGGTTGTCCCAGACCACAGGCAGGGAGCTGGATGGGAAGTGGGAAGCAGAGTTTCTGGGACATGAACAGGTGCCCACAGGGGATCCCGGTGGTTGCAAGGTGAGGATTTAGCCACTGAGCCATTGTGCCAAGCCCTCAGTTTCAGTGAGGGCATTGCTAGCAATTCTTTTAGAGTAAAATAGTGCCACTGGGGGGACCAGTGCCATGGCTCACAGGCTAATCCTCCACCTGCAGATATCAGCATCCCATATGGGACAGTAGTTCTAGTCCCAGCTGCTCCATTTCCTATCCGCTTCTCCGCATCTGGCCTGGGAAAGCAATGATGAAAGATGGCTCAAGCATTGGGTTCCTGCACCTGTGTGGGAGACCCGGGGGAACCTCCTGGCAACAGACTGGCTGAGCTCTGGCCATCATGGCCACCTGGGGAGGGAAGCAGTGGATGGAAAACTCTCTCTCCCTCTGTCCCTCCTTCTCTCTGTAACTTAGCCTTTCAAATAAAAATAAATACATATTTTTTTAATTAGCATTACCATTCATACACAAAGCACAGGCAGACACATCGCGTGTAAACAACTGCATGATACTGCAGGCTGACCCCGGCGAGGACGTCATTTAGGCAATGCATTCTAAAAAGGCTCTGTGTGGAAGAACCACCAGGGAAAACGCAGGCTGAGAAATGCTGAGCCCAGGGCCGGCGTGGGGCACAGCGGGCGAAGCTGCCACCCGTGACACTGGATCCCACAGCAGACGGTGGCCCAATATTAGACTCCTGTCAATATCGTAGGAGACCCAGTTAGAATCCCTGACTCTTTGGTGTGGTCCAGCCCTGATTGTCACGGCCAGGCGGAAGGGAACAAGTGGAAGATTCTCTGTACTCTGCCTCTCATAAAATCAACCTTAAGAAAAATGCAAACTCCCACCAGACAGTTATTATTCGCTCTGCTGAACTGGTAACCTTTGCCTTCTTACAATCCTTGTAGATATCCAGTTCCTCTACCCTAACCCTAAACCCCGAATCCTGACACTAAACCCCAACCCCAAACCCTGAAGCCCAATTCCTAACCCTAAGCCCAGTTCCTAACCCCAAACCCCCTCCCTAAACTCTAACCCCAACTCTAAACTCTAACACTAAAACCACAACCCCTAAACCCTAACCCAAACCCAAACCTAGCTCCAACTCTAAACCCCAACCCTGACCCCTCTACCATTCCCAATGCCTGTCAAGCACAAGCCTATGCCCAGCTGCCACCTCCTCTCTCCAGGTAGCCTTCTGGGGTCCAACAGCAGGAAATCCACACCCCTCCTTTCAGGGCAAAACAGCAGGCCTCCTGTTCTCTCACAACACCCCATTTCTGTGTCGGGCAATGATCATTGTAACCCCTGGGCCCCTGCCAAAGGCCCTGTGCCCCACCTAGCTCTGACTGACCGAGAGCTGGGAACCCCAAGTCAGAATGCAGGGCAGATGCAGCTTGGCCAACTCCGTGTGCTCCGTCCAGAATTGCTGAACGAATGATCCCTCCTGTTGCCGCCCACGGGACTTCCCACATCCCAGATTTTTCCCAGAGCCTGTGCCGTGGATGGCAGACTCCCCCAGGACTGGCCTCCAGCGGCTATGCTCCAAGGGAGCTGCCACAAGCCACAGAGCACCAGACACAGGTGGGCGCACAGCAGCTGGAGGAACCCTCACCGAGCCCAGCTGCATGATGGCGTTGATGTAGTTCTCGTCCTTCTCCACTTTCTTCCGGAAGCGGATGGTCTGCTCCAGCTCCTGGGGATTCACATCCTTGGGCCAGCCCCCCTCGATGTGGTTCACTCCGCGGGTCTCCATCTCGAACCTCTCCGTGTTGGCCTAGACAGACAGCCGCAGTGAGATGTGTGTCCCTGGAGTAAGGCAAACCAGGGTAGGGGCAGGGGTTGGGGATTCTGGGCCCCAAGCTCTCAGGGCTGGGACTCAGGTGCTGGAGCCATGCATCCAGGTGCTTTTTGGCCCCAGGTGGTCACAGGTAGCCGCACAGCGCCACCGTATGGAGATGGCAGCTGACATCAGGAAGTCCCGGTTCTGACCTGATCTGAATCCTGAGATTCCAAAGAAACAGGAAGGGAAGGACCTTCTCTCTCCCTAGGAACGTCCAGAGCAGCTCCTTGCTGGGCCTTGGGGACGGGGAGGATGGCTTTGCCTGGTCAGCTGCCCCGTGCCGCCTACAGACCGCGTCAAAGTGACCACACGGCACAAGTGTGTGCCATGCTGGGGTGTGTGTCTGGTGTCCCTGGGGACCTCATTCTCCCCCGTCAGAGGGCCGGGTTTGGAGCCCTAGCTCAGCTCCCCCTGCTAGCTCCCTGCTAACGTGCCCTGGCCTTGCTCCGGACAAGTGGCAGCTGAATGCTCAAGCACCTACATCCTTGCCCAAGCTGAAGCAAAAAGACGGACATGGAGTTCCCAGGCGGCCTAGCCTGGCCCCGCCCCAGCTGTTGCGGGCATTTGGGGGAAGTGAACCAGTGACAGAAAATATCTGCCTTTGAAATAAAGATGGAAATCCAGGGTCATGATGCTCCAGTTAAGCAATCCCTCCCCGTCACCTTTTCATTTTGAAACCTAAAGTCTTGCCAGGGACGAGCTCCTGGTAGGAGAGCCTTGAGTGGTGTGATTGGCCTGGTCTCATGTTGCTGGGCTACTGGTCCTGGGTGCCATTGTCCTGGTCCCCACCATGGCCATTAGGTCGGGAGTACAGAACCTCATCTGTTTGAGCTGCAAGTCACCAGAAGCACCCACACTCTCACAGCTGGAGAATGAGTTGGACGCTCCCCCTGCCCTTGGTAAAACCTGTTCTCTTGGGCCTGGTGCAATAGCGTAATGGTTGAAGTCCTCGCCTTGCATGCCTGGGATCCCATATGGTCGCCGGTTCTAATCCTGGCGGCCCCTCTTCCCATCCAGCTCCCTGCTTGTGGCCTGGGAAAGCAGTCGAGGACGGCCCAAAGCTTTGGGACCCTGCACCTGTGTGGGAGACCCGGAAGAGTTCCTAGCTTTGGATAGGCTCAGCTCCAGCCGTTGCGGTCACTTGGGGAGTGAACCATCGGACAGAAGATCTTCGTCTCTGTCTGTCCTCCTCTCTGTATATCTGCCTTTCAATACAAATATATCTAAAAAAAACAAAAAACCTGTTCTCTCAGCCCATCAGCAGCGCCTCCCTGCTGCCCCCTGCAGGCAGGGTGCAATCAGCTCCTGGGGCATGGTCACCGAAACCCTCATTCTCTTAGGGCAGTCTCCATCCAGAACTTCCAGTGGGACACTTTGCTGTTTTCAAGCTGGGCTGTTCCTTCCCCAACTGACCCAAATGCTGCACCCACACACACACTCTGACCCCACGAGTCTCAGAGAGAGCAACTCATGGTTCCCATACCCAGCGTTGGGAGGGGCTGCTACCCAGTCCCCTCTAACACTGGCACTGCAGTCACTTCCTGCGTCAAGGTGGGGCCATTCTAATCGGGACACCTGCTCCCCGTGACTGCCTGGCCCAGCCCACCAGCTTCTCCAGCCTGGGTGTCCCCAGGCAGGACACACCTCGTGTTCCGACATGCTGACCGAGCACTGGATGCCCGTGTCCACCGGGTTCCGCTCCACGAACTGCTCGGCCAGCTCGGGGTTGGGCGGGATGTCGATGTTCAGCTCGGCCTGGCGGTCTGAGAAGTTGCATTGCTTTCCGAACTCACTGCGCTTCTTGACGTACACGTACACGATCTCCATGGCAACGGCTGCTGCAGGGCCAGAGAGAGGAGGAGGGTGGGCACTTCACCGGGGTCTGGGGCCCTGGGTTCTCAGTGGCGAGGGACAGGGAGAAGGAGAGACTGTCTAAGTGCAGATTCACTCCCCGCACGCACACAACAGAGAGACTCCCTCTGGGTCTTGTGTGAGTTTCAGGGAGCCAGGTACAAGAGTCAGCATCTCCAGCAAGCCGGGGTGCGCATCAGCAAGAAGCTGAATCGGAAGTAGAGCGAGAACTTGAACCCAGGCACTCTGAGATGGGACGTGGGCATCCTAACCACGTCATCAGACGCCAGCTCCTGCACCTGCATTTTATTCATTTTTTAAATTGCTTATTTTGGAAATCAGAGTTAGAGAGAGGGAGGGGCAGAGTGTTCTTCCATCTGCTGACCCACTCCCCAAATGGCCACAACAGCCAAGACTGGGCCAGGCCAAAGCAACAGCTTCCTCTGGGTTTCCCATACTAGTGCAGGGGCCCAAGGACTTGGGCTATCCTCTGCTGCTTTCCCAGGCACAACGGTAGGGAGCTGGGTCAGAAGCGGAGCAGCCAGGCCCTGAAGCCCATGTGGGATGCTGGTGATACAGGCTTAACCTCTTACTTCAACCCTGACACCTGATCTACAGGCAGGCGTTCAGCCTAACGGTTTAGATGTAAGTGGCACTAGGGTCTATCAGGATAAGCCTCTGCCTGCAATGCCATCCCGTGCCAGTCCAGACAAAGCTCCAGGCTCACGGCTCAGCCTGGCCCAGCGCTGGCCATTGTGGACATTTGAGGAATGAACCAGCAGGTAGAATATTTGTATGTCTCTCTGTAACTCGGCCTTTCAAATACATAAGTAAACCTTTAAAAGTACTTATTTATTTTTATTAAAAAGGCAGATATATAAAAAGAAGGGACAGAAAGCTCTTCCATCTGTTGACCCAGGAGCCTCTTCTAGGTCCCCCGCTGTGGGTGGCAGGGGAGAAGCGGGAAGAGCAGCTGCCTGAGCCTGCCCGAGTCAGGTTTGCTTCAGCCCCGAGAGAGTAGGCTCTGGCCTGTGAGCAGCTGTTCCTGAACGCTACAGGAGTCTCGCAGGGAAATAACTGGAGGGTAAATCTCCTGAATTAACTAAACCCACAGACAAACAGCCAAAATTAGGTTACAAATGAAAAATACCATGCAACAAAAACACTGAAAGAGTGACTCGGTTGACCAGGCAGCTCTGTGTTGGAGCTTTTGTCCAAAAATGCCCTCTGAGGCACCCCAAGTGAATGTACTTAAAAATCTAATTAGTGGGGCCCCGCGCAGTGGCCTGGTGGCTAAAGTCCTTGCTTTGCATGTGCCAGGATCTCATATGGGCACCTGTTCTAATCCCGGCAGTTCCACTTTCCATCCAGCTCCCTGCTTGTGGTCTGGGAAAGCAGTGGAGGACGGCCCAAAGCCTTGGGATCCTGCACCCGTGTGGGAGAGCCAGAAGAAGCTCCAGGCTCTTGGCTTTTGATCAGCTCAGCTCTGGCCATTGCCCCCACTTGGGGAGTCATCAGCAGACGGAGGATCTTCCTCGCTGTCTCTCCTCCTCTCTGTATATCCAACTTTCCAATATTTTTTTTAAGTCTTTAAGAAACAATTCACTCTTGCTGTAGCAGGCCCTCTCACGCACCAGCCAGCCTCGTGGGCAGCCTGGCAGAGGGCAGGACAAAGCTGGGGAGCTCCCACAGGAGGGCTCGCAGCCCCGGAGCTTCCCTTGGCTGCTGTTCTGTTGATCCCCGGGGCTGCAGGCCTCGACCACAGGCGGGGACCCAGTTTGAGGTTCTCTTTCTTTCTCCTCCTTCCCCCACTCTCTCTCTGAAAACAGCCGGGACCAGCAGGTGGTACTTACAGGATTATGCGGTAGCCTGTGATCCCAGCACCCCACGTGGCTGCAGGGTTGAGTCCCAGCCATTCCACTTCCCGTCAAGTTTCCCCACTAACACGCCTGGAAGCGCAGCAAGTGCCTGGACCCCCCGCCACCCATGTGGGAGCACCGGGATAAAGTTCCAGGCTCCTGGCTTTGTCAGTCAGGGCCGGTCCTGGCCATCACAGACATTAAGGAAGTGAATCAGTGGATGGAAGATTTATTATTTATTTTTTATTGGAAAGTCTGATATACAGAGAGGAGAGACAGAGAGGAAGATCTTCTGTCTAATGATTCACTCCCCAAATGGCTGCAATGGCCAGAGCTGTGCCGATCTGAGGCCAGGAGCCTCTTCTGGGTCTCCCACGTAAATGCAGGATCCCAAGGTTTTGGGCTGTCTTTGACTGCTTTCCCAGCTCACAAGCAGGGAGCTGGATGGAAAGCGGAGCCACCAAGATAAGAGCTGGTGCTCATATGGGATTCCAGCACATTTAAGGCAAAGACTTTAGCCACTAGGCTACCATGCTGGGCCCAAATAAATACATATTTAAAACAAACTTTTAAAAAGAAAACTGCTCTAGGGGGTACAAAGAAAGCCAGCTCTAGGGGGTACAAAGATGCCCAAAAGAATGAGCAAAGGACCAGAAGAGCCTCTTAGTCCAGACAAGTTTTAGCAACGAGGTTTTCCTTCTTGGCGCTTCCCAAGGTCAGACCTCTTCCGTCTGGAGCCAGGCTGCCCTGGATCGGGAGATGCTTCACTTCAGGACCCCGGCAGGTCATTTTTACTAGCTAACAGGGCATGGGGATACATGGTGAGGCCGATGAAGGAAGCTCGACTTCCTTCGTGTGACAGATACTGCTGAGTAGGCTTCGTGCGAGGGGCCGCAGTAAGGAGTACAGAGCAGGGCAGGAGCAGTGTCCACACCCCTGCGGTGTTGGAGGGAGGCTGTCTCGGCTGGGACCCAGGGACTTGGAGGTGTGCAAAGCACCTGTCACAGTGCCATAGAACGTGGAGCCTGGATGCTGCAGCCTGAGCATGAGAAACACTAGACTCGGTAGTGATTGCCAGGAGCACAGCTCTCAGGGCCAGCTGGGAGGGAGGCCTGGGCAGTGTGGCGGGCGAGGGGAGGGGGGTCAGGGCCGCAACCAGGGCCCATCCCTCCGCACTGGACTCCATGGGAGAATCTAGAGACTTCAACGGCTTCCTCTTTTTGGATCCGGGGGCAGCTCCCTCACCTCATCCCCCAGGCTCCGTGCCTGGGGCTGACTGGCACCCGGCAGGGCAAAGGGAGGCAGAGGGCCGACTTCATTAGGGAACCGCCCCTCCTGCCAAGCTCCACCTCCTGGAGGCTCCCAGGCAGGGGGAGGGTAGAGCAAACCCAAGGGAGGTGGAGACCCATGCAACACTCCGGCTGGTCAGTGTGCACCGGCACCTTTCACGGCAAGGCTGTGTCCAGAGAAAAAGACACCCCTGTCCCCAGGGCCTGGCACAGAGAGGGGCCCCTGGACTCACTCTGTTGCCTGACTGGGATGCCAATCCACTTCTTTCCCCTTGCTCCACTCTGGCCAACTTTGGAAAACAAAACTTGAAACAATCCAGGGATTGGGAAACTCCTGCAGGATCCAAAAGCTGGGAGAAGCAGCACTTTTGGGGTACGGGAGAGTGGTGGCATACACTGAGCTGGGGTGTGGGGATGAGGGACAGCACCAGGTTTGGGAGAAACTGACCCTGACCAGGATTCCCAATGGGCTTTGAGGGCCAGTTGCTGGGACTTACCTAAAGGACCTGGCTCCTAAAAGGTGCGTGGCTCTCTGCCTCTCTCATCAGAAGGCTCCCCCAACAGCCGCCCGCCCCAGTGAGCCCCTCTCTGGCCCCTCAAGCTCTCACCAGGAACCTGAGTGATTCCTGAGACCAGACACCCTGGGAGTCCTGAGATCAGGCAATGCCTAGGACAGCCAGCCGGGGCCAGGACACAGGTTAGCGCACCTGCTGTCCCAAAAGGGATCCCGGGAGGTATCAAAGGGTTGTTTTGGGGATTGTGTCCCCCCTGGAGCGACCCCCTTCGCTCTCCTCTGCAGCCGCACCTTACCGTGGTCCTGACACTGACAGGATGGGGACGCGCCCCAAGCGCGGGTTACCTCCACTCCAGCGCGCCTCAAACGGCTGGCAGCGGCCGAGTTTGCCGGTCACCTAGCAACCCCGGTAGGGAGCCCGGGACACCGGAGGGGATGAAGAACACGTGACTCCCCGTCCTGCTGGCCACGTGGGAAGCCCGGCCCCGCCCCCTCCCTCTAAGGAAGATCGGCCGTGGGTGTAAAAGGGACCAGGATCGTGGAATTGCGCTCCGGGAGTGACAAGTGCTGGCGGGGTTTGCAGAGGCTCTTCTCCCAGCCTGCAAACACGCACGGGGCAGCGCGCACGTGGGGCGGGCGCATCCCTGAGCGCCGAGCTGGGCATCGTGGTAACTCCTTGCTCCAGGTCCCACATTTAGTAAGGGATATAACCCGGCCTACCCGTGTCTCCACCATGTCCCCTGCACCTAACATAATAAACACGGGTCTTGTGGAACTAGGGGCTGCGTGCCTGACTGCCTAGCCCTGGGGACGGCAAGTTGTAGAATGTCCAGGCTTAAAACAATGAAGTAAAGGGGTATTTGGGGTTAGAAACGCTGAGTTTGAATCATAGATTGGTCGCTTACTAATCAGGTGACCTCTGGCAAGCTGCTTTATTTATTTATTTAGATTTATTTTTGTGAAAGGGAGAGTGAGATAGAGGTTTTCCAACTGCGGGTTCATTTTCCAAATGGCGGCTGGTCAGGGCTGGATCAGGCTGGCACCAGGGTTTTCCACATGGGTTCAGGGGCATAAGCATTTGGGCCATTCTCTGCTGCTTTCTCAGGCACATTAGCAGGGAGCTGGATAGGAAGTGGGGCAACCTGGGCTTGAACCGGTGCCAACATGGAATGCGGGCATTGCAGGTGCAGCTTTACCTAAGCTTCCTTTTCTAAAACTCAGCATTCCCCATCCGCAAAGTGGGTGTCCAGTGGTGGGTCTCGTAGGATAATTGAGAGGACTAAGCCAGAGGATGCAAGGCAAGTACCCAGCCCGTGCTGCCGGCA